CCGATACTTTTCCGTTTGTGCTTCGACTAATGTAATATTCCAGAGTGGTCTTTAAAAAAGGGTTATATGAAAAAAAAATCTCAAAATACGTATTATTATGTTGGAGTTGTATTACGTAAAAAAATAAGTGAATAACGTTTAGATCACCGAGTGTGGGAGTAATGTGAGAAGGGAATGACAATGACAGCCGCCTCTGATTCTCCGTTGCAGAGCAATGGCTCTATGCGAGTAGTAATAATAATATAAATAAATAACACCCAGTTGGTGTTTGCCCAGGGAGATGCTTTGACTTGACATGAATGATTGGCGGAGTGTCCGATCTTGACCGTTTGCAGACTTCTTGACCGTGTCCCTCTTACGGAAAATAAATGTCATGCTATCACGGCTCGCTTTTTTGTTGTCGATAACAACATCTCCACAGCCTCTACCCTCAACTCGTTATAGCAAAAGGCTTTGTGTGCGACTACACGTGCTGTTTTTTAACGTCTCATTCAATTCCTTTGGCGGAACCGAAATGAGCCAATAATGAATGAAGACACGATACAGATGTTACAACAAATTAGAATGGCATCCCAGAGCGAAACAAACGCACGAAGCTGCTCTGCTGTCTCATCAAGAGAGAGGAACGAGTCTGGTTAGCATTTGTTCAACGACTTTGGCTTGTGCAGCGCTGGGAAACTGAAAAGGGCCCAACGACCCAGTTACCCTGGCTAGCCACTTTGCTCCCAAACTCAACGCGTTCGCTTGCACTGCCCCCCTTAATTGGGCACGAAGGAGGCCATGCAATGGCAGCGTTTACGCGAAGGGCAGCGTCAGGCCCTCTGTTGCCATCGCTTCTTTCCTGCCGTTAAAATTAAGGCGCTTGGGTGGAGCCCATCGGCCCGGGCGGCCCATGACTCCTGACGCAAATGAGGAAGGATGGGGCGTGCAATAGCGGAGTGTTTATTGAATTTCCATAACCTTGCCAAAAGAAAGACAAAATGCATCAATAAAGAGCTATCCCATCTAATTGCCATAGACTGACGCGAATTCACCAGTGGGCCCCACGAACAGATCAAAGCCATTGACACTCTACGCAGCCTCATATTAAAAGCACAGGGTTCAAAGTGTGGGATCCAATTCTAATTGCGTTATTAATTCCATTCGGCTTCCCCCACGCCCCTCGTCTCGCGGTCGGCTTGTAGCACCGAACACACTGAGGAGTCATTGTCTCGTGGAAACGTGACTACGCTGCCGATGTCAGCTGCCCACTCTTGTGAGCGAGGCAGCGGATTTTGTTTTGTGCAGATTAATGGACTTAATCCTTCCTAAGGCAGGCAGAGGTCTGTCAGCGCTTGGTTTCCTGAAATTTGCACTGCTTTAAACATCCATAACTTTGAGAAGCATTATGAAGTGCAAAAGGTCCTCCGTGTTCAAACATGTCCTGGTGCAGTGGTCATCTCCTGCTGCAACACTGATCCGGTGGTGGCCATTCCACGTTACCACGGTGGGAGCGAGTCTAATCAGCAGGAGGATAGCTGCAATTGGCATGCCTCGGGGTGGTTGTCTTTTTTTATTAAAAGCTGAAAGGAAAATGGGGGGCTGCGTATACTCCTGGCCAGCGATTGACGAGAACATTGACTTTGTGAGCCAGACGCTCGAACGTAGTGCCAGATGAACAAACGATTACTCTGAAGTTTAGGTTCTCTCTCTCTTCAACATACATCCTCCTCAATAATAGCGGTAACTGAGCGGTAGCCCAATTCACAAAACGTAAAGACTCCCAATCATAAGGGCATGAGTTAAAGTTTAGGACAGGAGCAATTAAGCCTTTCGTGGATGGGACGGTGAAACGAGTGCAACTTGGTGGTTGAAATATTTCGAGACGGTTGTCACCATTTGGCCTAGGATCGACAGTTAAAGCGAGTACTGCCCGATGTGTGTGTGTGTTTATTTACGCGGATACTTTTACTCTTAAAATAAGGAAGTGGGGTGGGGGGGGATTGTTTCTTCAGATTCCACGTATTCTGCAAGATTGCGAGCTCAAGGCTTCGCGTGCAATCTCCGCGAGGCTCAGTCGAAGCAGCAAGCGTCTCAGCGACAAGCCTTCGCAACAAGTGTGTGTGTGAGTGCACGAGGTGCGCGTTCGACTTTTCAGCAAAGGATTAACGCCATCGCAATGGGGAACGCTGCTTCTCATTTAACGGCTCTGATGCGCCTCACTCCCTTATCGGTTTTTTTAATAAGTGGTTGAACCCCATTCCTCTGGGGGTTTTCTATTATTCTACAAAGCTCTAATAATAACTTTTTTTGTTATTTATACCAGCGGAAGGGGGGGGGGGTAGTGAAAAGTTACAAAATTCCAGCATGCTCGGTCATGTTAAAAACAAATCCACAGCACTTTCCAAGCGTAGGTCTTTGTATTTTTAAGGCAATGCGACTGAGATTAGATGGTCTATCGGTCTATTGTCTGAATCCCCGCCCATCAATATAATCTTCATGGAGGCGTACACAACACTCAAGACAAATCCAGCTGGTTAATGCATTTCTTCTTTTTCTACTTTGTGAAAAACATACACGCGAGGAGAGATTAGGATTGGCAGGCGAGAAGCAGGATGGACTGAATTAATCGGTGCTTGTTCTTGGGCGAAACACATGCTGCCACATTGTAACGGTCAGCACACTTGCAATCCAGAGGCCGCCGGTTCGATCTCCCCGCGTGGCAGTCAAAGCAACAGGCACGTTTCCTAAATCTCCCCGCCCCTGTCCGTGCAGCAGTATAAAGAGGGTACAGCGCAAGTTGTCGTCCACCGGCAGGTCCACTCACGCGTGTGTGGGTGGGGGTCGACTGTGGGTGCTGACGCTTTTAGCAAGAAGCCGGCATGAAAGAGTTGGGCAATGTCCGTCTAGAGAGGCTCTCTTGGAGCTCCTTCTAAGCAGTAGCTTGAGAAAGTCATTGCAGGACTGCGCCTTTGTCTTTTTTACGATTAACCTTGGGGGGGGGGGGGGGGGGGGGGTTGGGATAATCTGTCGCCGAATTAGCAACAAGGAAACGCACAAATGTGCGGCGCCCATCTCCGCTGGAGGCTCTGAGCTTCCAGTGGGAATTCGACTTCCTCATGCCGGTGGGCTGTTTAGATGCCATACTTCGATATTGTGGGACAGTCCTTTGCAAAGGGTGACCACTGTTGAATTCTCTCGATGTGGTACTCATATTATTGTATCGCCAGAGGGATGACAGGATAATTACATTTCCGACCGCTGTGGCAGGTTTAATCATTATAAATTTAACTTTCACCACCAAATCTGAACGTTCGCCTAGATGTGAGCAGTTACGGCAAAGTTATTGCTGCAGAGTGTACCTGTGTACGACGTTGGAATTTCATTGCGAAAAGAGGAGCCAGCTGAACTTGTAAATTCGCAGTTGTAATGAGATCGCGCGAGCCGAATACGGTCTCCAGTACCCTTAATGGTTCTTGACGAGATGAATTTTTCATTTAACGGTCTGCTTCGAGACACGACGAGGCACTTAACGGCGCTTTGTTCGTTCCCGCACGTGCCAACGCACGCGCAACACCAAGCGCTTTGAACTGCATTACGACCACTGCTCTGGGAGAAAAGTGGTTACGTTAACAAATTATATTTGTAAATTTAATTGATTTATTTCCTTCGACATTCTGTACGCCTGTTTGAGCATTCAGGGAGTTATAAAGCTCTTCTAAATCAAGAAATGCATGTATACATTTTCTTCGGCTAAGATATTATGTTCAATATAATTGCGGCATTATATAGCCAAATGGCACTGTGCTTAGAGTGCTAAGCTCACAATGAGAATAATGTGATTTATAATACCTAAGTAGAGGGAGTTAACACAGAGACACCAAGAGAGGCACACATATGGGACACAGAGAGACAGGGTCTCTGTGCCGAGGCCTTAGCATGCAGGGGAGACAAAGAGAGATGGAGAAGCACACTAAATCGAACAAGATTTAGCAAAATTTGGAAACAATATAATGCAATACAGAGGGTCGGTCAAAACACAATTAATTTTGCTAAATCTTGTTCCATTTAGTGTGCTTCTCCATCTCTCTTTGTCTCCCCTACATGCTAAGGCCTCGGCACAGAGACCCTGTCTCTCTGTGTCCCATACGTGTCTCTCTTTGTGTCTCTGTGTTAACTCCCTCTACTTAGGTGTCTGTATATATGTCTGCGTTTCTGTGTTTCCTCTCTCTCTTAAATTTAGCTCTTCTGTGCCTGATGATGATTGCTTGCGTTGCAATCTAAACGTCGTATGCTATTATGTAATTTCATTATTTTTTAATCATTTCTTATTTCTACGTGACTTTACCGAAAAAAACTAAGAGTGATGAATTGGATATCCCCATAGAGTACATTCCGTGGAGGAATTTGAAACAAATGCAGGGTTGCATTGTGTAAACATCGCATAAAACAATGACACATCCAAAACAATGTAATCCCGGTAGCACTGCAACAATGAAACGCAAAGTGTTCATCCAATCTTGTTTGGTGTAGCATGTATTTTTATTTCAATGTGCATCTACAATGAGCATACAGTATTCCTCGTTTGTTTTTAGCAAAAAAAAAGTGGCATCTCCTTTTTACACTGTACAGGTACAAAAATACAATGTGTGTTTATCCATTTGTTTTCACTGGCTCACATGACGTGCATTCGCATCTCAAGCACCGCTCGTGAATGATGGCCCTGGCTTAAAAACCCCCCAAAAAAACCCAGGCTGAGAATGAAAATCCTCTAAAAATGAAACTTACCACAACTTTAAACACGACCACGGGCAGCCACCCATGAGAGCACAGGCAGACCTCGTGTCTCTGCGATCCTGTCTCAAGGAGCACAATGGAAACGACAATAGTAATATAATATAGTGCTTTTGGGCATTCAGGTTCCTTTTTTTCTTCTTCCTTTTTCTCCACGGATGGTCCAACATCTGTATGACCTTCACGATTGCGGATTTGTTGGATAACACGGGGCGGTTGAAACGGTGTTAAGAAAAAAGGACTTTATATGTAACTCAATATTCGTACACACGCGCGGGTTGCATGGGAAACAGCACAGCAGCGCCAACAACACCGGTGCCCACGAACACGACGATACACAGACACCCCGCTCTCGTAATTAAGCAGTTACACTTAACAAAAAAACACTTTCATGTTATTTGACACGTGCAATCACCATGGCATTGGACACCGTGCGTTGGTATACAATGCAGAGCTACTGCTGAGGATCGCTTCGAGTGATCTGCGGCCACACACAGCAGCGGGCAATGCCATGGCAGGCAAAACCGATATTTAAGTTCTGCAGGACGACATGGGGGCAACTTTAAACAGTGTTCAGAAAAAGCAAATGTGCATGTAATATAATGTATGTATACCGTGGATTCGATGGTTGTGTGTTGTTTACCATTGTTCAAAGTAGATACGTAACTTTATAGTAATTCACAGCACTGTAATGAGGACATATGAAAACTGTACAATACAAACGATGCCACGCACGTGCCGTTTGTTTATAATACACGCTTGATGCCACGTTTGTGTTCAAGTTGGCAATCTAAGAACAAAACAAATGTTCATAAAGTTTAGTGACGTTAGTTTTATTCTATTAGACCTACCAAACTGGAAGACAGTTAGTTTCAAATAGAATTATGGTTCGTGACCGCCGATAACTGTCCAATTATTTTTTGTTAAGATTGGTGATAAAAAAAAAAACTCAATACGTTTAATGCAAATTTTCTTTGCAAAATTAGTAACAACTGAAAAGATTTATTGCTGAAAAAATTATACTCTTGACAAACTCCTTAACAATTACTATTAATTTTATCACACTTGGGACCTTTTCATGTTGGCGCTGGTATCTGAATTGTATTTTTTTTACACGAGTAAATCTGTTTTTGTTGTTTAAACCAACGTATGACTAAAGCATGTGGTAATCAATAAACACCACTGAGATATAAACTTTCCCTGCAACGCTCTGTGGCAGTGCACTCGCGTGCATGCGAGTCACGGCAGGGATGTGCGTCAAAAGCACTGGCACATCACACGCTTCCACACGGGAGAACGCATTCCTACACTCAACAATTGGGAGAAATAAAGTGCACGCGTTTGTTCATTAGTTTCATTTTTCTCCGTAACTCTAGTCAATTGTGTGCATTAATTGCTCCCAGCGTTGAAACCGTCCACCAGTGTACAACACAGCTAAGGAATTTTTTTAAAAAAGTTATAAACCGGATTAGAAGGGAATTGAGGATGATTTGTGTGCGGTGTTTGAACAAGTAATTTGTGTTGAGCCAATCTTTTGTTAGCATGATCTAAAAATCTAAAATAATGTGCGTGGTTTAATGTAACACATGTATTAAGCAAGAAAATAAAGTTGCAGAGTGAAAATGTGGTTTGTGTTTGACAGAGGGGTACAAATTTTGATTTAAAGCTTTCGTGACTGCAGGGATTCATATTCTTGGTTCTTTCGGTAAAGTCACGTAGAATGGAAACAATAAAATAATAAAAATATAAAACAATAAAATTCTCACGACGTTTCGACTGCAACACAAGCAATCATCATCAGGTGTGAAAACCACAGCAAGAAAATTTGAAAAAAGTGGCGTTTTTTTTAACGTTAGCACCACGGAGAGCGATTTGGCAGTTATTCAGATGGACGAGTCCATCTATGTTCGGAAAAGAGGAGGGGGGAGACGAAAATAATGGATGCGGTCTGAAAGCCACCGTAAGCGTGAACAAGTTCAAATATGAATCTGGGATCAACCTAGCCTATCAACGTAAGCGGTGGTAAAATTAGTACCATCATTTATGACTCTACAGTATGTACTGTGGGCCGAAACAATGATTATCCTATTCAAAGATTGGCCAATGCCATAGGATTGTAACATTTCTAAGACTGGTTAAAAGCCATCATTGGGGATGAGTGCTACCGCATTGCTCATTTGAGCAGGGAGACACTTTGACTTTGACATGGCTATGTACGCAACAATAACACGAAGAGCCAGGAATATAAAACTGATGGGCACACTGTTAACTGCATTACGTTGTAAGGTAGAGGCAGACCCAAGTTGGGCATTCTAGTTCAGGATGTATAAATGTGATTAGTTCTGAGCTAGTATTAAGGGTGAAGAAACTTAAAGTCAGTTTTTTTAAAATAAAATAAAGCAAAAATTGCATATGCACCGGTGAAACCCATGTTTATATCATTTAATTGTTGCGGGTTGGAGCGAAGTTGGATACTCAATTATTAATGTATCGCAAGATGGCAATTTTTGGCTTAAGGATAACAAATGAAAGAACACTTTGGCACCCGTACGTTTGAGGTACGATCAGCGTTATTCTTAAGTTGTCGTAAGACATTACGCCGCTTGGCCATGCGGTCCCGTGGAAAAAACCGAGTAGCATCCACCACAGCACGGGGCTCAGATCAAAGCACGCGGGTTCAATGGTTTGTTTGTTCGTGCATTCATAGGCCAAGGCCCAAGCGTTCAAAGGTAACGGCGCGACCGCTCTTAAGAGAGGCGAGAGAAAGGTGACGATGAAGGATCTAGCAGCGACCAATGTCGTCGCCCGTCGTGCATTGCCACCGCAGCCCCAAACGTGAGCGCAACTATTGTCCAATGAGCAGAGCGGCTATTCAATTCAGCACCTCGCCAAACAGGTTTGCTTGCTTTAGTGCTCTTTTGGACACAGCGATGTTGCCAGCCCAGCCGAGACAATGGAACGAGTTGGTTTTTGAAATCGCGTATTCCCTTTTTAATATTCTACTGCCCGCAGTAGAAAATGCAGTCTTGTTACAATTTGTTGTTGCAATATCTTTGAATCTCTGAACAACTGCTTTGATCTTAAATTGAGGCTTTTTTTGTTTCGATAACCTTACACTGATTCTTCTGAACCGATATGACTCTTGTTATTATACAATGAATGAACAAGGCCACCTGGCCTTGTGATTAAAATGTGTGTACAATTTATGTATTCCAGTGTTACAATTAAGCCGATGTTTATAACAAACAAAAACCTTGGCTGCATTTGCAGGTGTAAAGTTAGCTAACATGGAATGGTATATTGAATCTAAAAATTTTTATGATAATTTACTGAGCCTTTGTCAATCGACTGCTTGATGAAGGGTCTCATGGAGGTTGTTTTGACCATACTTCACCACGCTGCTCAGTGCAGGCTGGTAAAGGGCGAGATGTATTCATGTTTTGAGCTTCTTTCGCACCGTACGTAGCCAAGCGCGCCAATGGGAGGTGTGCGAAACAGGAGGCACGCCACCTGTTTTCTCAAATCACTCGCCACTCACTTTAACCCTGGCCGGGAATTGAAATCAGAATGATGCCAGGTTCATGGCGCAGCGGGCAGAGCGCTGCCGCCACTCCTCCAGCCCCCCACCCCCAACCTTTCCACAAAAAAAGCAAAATAAATGTCGTTTTGGGAGCAGCAGAAGCCATGTCCACGTTTGCATTGGCCATGCGTGGTGCGAAATAAGCGCGGCGTAGCTCTGCTATGGGGATTGTTGACCTTCAGTGGCGTTGAGGTCGCGGCTTCCATCCTTCTCGCTGTCAACGACCAAATATTCAACTGGGCGGTGTATAATATATCCTTCATTCAATTTAATACACTAACGCGTACGGGCGCTTCATTACATCAGTTAAATCGACAGCGCAATATACTTCTATTTACAAAGCAACACGAGTTAACATCTTTTACACGTACAGTACTGACAACGCTTGTCAAACACACCAGAGAATTCAATCGATGCTGAGGAAGAATGGTACAAATTAGCCAGCGTAACGACCATTGGTCAATTGCTACGTCTCAACGTTTACTTACATACATGCAGGACCAGGTTTCCAGACGATACGAAGCATCTTTCATTTTACAAAGTGAAACACATACCATAGCACTCAAATCCAGTGACCTAAAAGAGCATTCCAGAAAAAAAATGGAGCATTTGTTGAACAAGCAAACCCTGCACCGGTTAGGCTTCAGGAGTTTCAATAGCAGGCTGCGGCCTGTTCATGCAGTGCCCCCGGGTTGCTCGCTGTCCTTGGCAGGAGACATCCACAGACACCACCACCACCAAGTTCATCAGGGAATGGCGGCGACAAAGTACGACATCTCTACCGCACCATCTTGGCGGATTGTGGGAACGATGATGAAACGCGTCGACTAGTAAATGCACGTTTACTTTGACTTTGACGGTGACCAATATGCCTTTACTGTTTATCGTTTTGCCGTGATTTACTCACAATCCGACGAGAACCGGTGCATCGTTATTTCGTGCGTTCCCATTAAGTGCTTATCATGTTACACAGCGCTACCGTATGCCCGTGTCCTCAACAGAAACCTGGACACACCGTTCCCGTTCCAGCTGTGGGGTCACACGCTACAAGCAAGGGAGCAGACATTGAGAATGGACATGAATGACGCCACATGGCCATTGGTGATAAATGATCGCGCCCATGACCACAGCGAAAGCTAATATTTCCCATCAAACATCGTGAGGTTAAGCGCTGCTCGGATGCACATGGGTCTCGCGAAAACACCAAGCCCAACAGGCCTCGAGATGGACTCGGGTGAGAATGCACAGTAAGTGCTTTTGCCAAAACAAGTATCATATTTACAATCTCGAAGCGTGGTCCTTTGCAATTACCTGTCAAGGTGTGGTACCTGGTTCTGCCGAATACTTTAAAGAAATGAAATCGCATTCGTCTTGACCCCCACGCGCGTTCATATATCAAAATAACCTGACTCTAATCGTTTTGAAGCGATTGGCAGTTGTTAAGACGTGCAGAGATTTGCCCGTGCGCATGAAATCGCTGCTCACGTGTGCGAGTGAAAGTTTCTTTAGTTTCCAAATAAATTTCTTCAGAAAATGAGAGAGTAAAACCATTCCACGCCTGTGCTGGAAAACCACAAAACTCCACTTAACCACGAAATGTTTCAACTTTCACAAACTGACCGAATTGAATGCGAAGTGTAATCTTGTTCTTTGCCTTGCTCAAACAAAACCCTTTCGATCCCAATGGACACAGTCCCATTGAACAAGCAACGGCTGGAACATGAACTAAATTGTAATTATTTTCATCCTCGGCATCAAATTAATTCTACTGCACTTTTACCGTCTAGTGTTAAACACTGGCAGAGCCAGAAGCAATACCTTTCGTGTCTTTTTTCATACTTATGGCATCAGCGAAGTGTAAAATTATATATTTTTTTATTAAAATATTTTAAGTAGTATTATTCCATATTTTAATTTATTGCAAATAGCAATTATTACATCAAATGTGACAGTCTCAGCAATAAACTGTTTTATTTTGCTTTGTTTGAAATATATTGAGAACTGAAAATGTATTGGATACTTTTTACACATACCACTTTCAATTTTAATCCATTTCCAAACAAGTATCCAACCAATCTTAATTAAAGTAACTTCAATAAATGTACATTTGAAAGCTCAGCCACAATATACAGCTGGCAAAAATCATCTTCGTGGGCTGGAATGAGCTCTTTCAATGGTCCTTTATTCATTTTGTAATAAAATTATATAACATCATGCTGACACTTGACTCCGTGTCTACTTCATTGTAGCTGTTAAAGGTCATGCAACAACTTTACGTAAACATTGAACGATGACGACTATCTTGCATTATAGAAGACAACAATGTTCCTTGTAAGTGCCTTGACCCTCAGCAGTTCTTTTCTTTTCCAGTTTGAAGGTAAAAGGCAAATTTGTAACAGTTATTACTCCCATCACTTCTTCAGCTGCAGCAGTTCACTCCCAACGTATTGTGCATTATCATAACACAAGTGTGGGTGCAAGGGTTCACAAGGAATATGCTGCTGCCAGGGGGCCCACGTGGCTATCTTGAGGTGACAGCCAGCCTCGGGGAAATCCCCAAGCATTAGACGGTGGCATAAAACCCTCTATCCAGACCGGTAAACGCCGCAATTGAAATTTCCAGCCACTCGGGGCGGAATATAACATTTGTCCCAGTGGAGTAAACCGAACAGAAATATCGGCGCGAGTTTTTTTGTTGACGTAACAAAACTCGCGGCGGAAGGGAAGCCGCTAGTTTTGGGCGCATGGCTCAGAATTGCAGGGACTCTCAGCGGCAGCCTTCACAGCCGAAGCCAATGAGATTTCCGGATAATTAATTGAGATGGGGTTCCTTCTACGGCGTTCGTGTAGCGGTGAGGTAGTGCATCACCTTATGTGCGAGGAAAATCCAACTCCCTTTTGAATTATTGTACTATTACTGTAATCAGATGATTGGCTTTTTACGGTTGATAAGGGCTCGTGAGTGTGGGAAGGAGGGGGGCAGCGTACAGAGACAGCCATTGGAGTGTCTCCCAGAGGCTCGCGGCCGAGGGGAAGATCCAAAGTCAGATGTTGGTGATGAGACCCTGGAGTTCCGGCATCAACGGCTCAACAGCTGTGGATCTCCCAGGAGGATTGGAAGCGTTGGCAAGGGGTGCTGACATCAGCGGCATCAAATGCGATGACTCTCCGATCTTGAGTTTTGTAAATTCCACATTCTCCTCAGCTTGCAGCCTCGAAGTGAGCTGCTGCGTATGCGCAAATCGATTGCACGAAATAACTTGACGAGGAGGAGGAGGAGTTGAAGGAGCGGCTGCACCCTTTTAAGGTTCCCTTCAGTAGTCGTCGTATTTCTTGAGGTCGGAGTAGAGAGTGTTGGCGAAGGTCTTCGTGGTGTGGATGTGCGAGTTGATACACTTGGTGTTTTCTTCGTTCATCAGGTAATTTTTGTTGAGAACCTTTGCAAAGAAAAAAAGGTGATGGGTGAGGTGGATAAGAACGGGGAGGGTAATTGGGGGAGGGTGGGCGGGCCGGGGGGAAGAACTGTTGTAAAAAATATCAACACTGAAAACATTTGATAAAGAAGTCCATAAATAAATAAATAGTCAACGTGTTTCCCTGCTCAAATAGGCAATGCCCATCTCCATTGGTGGACCTGAGCCAATGTAAAAAAAATAACAAAAATCCACATTCTCATGTCTGGGACCAGTAATTCTATAGCATGGGCACTTAACTTCCCATGAAGTGCTACTTATTTTATTGATCGAAGAAACTAACTGGAATGTGAAATTGTAATCTTCCAAAAGCTAAAATTATAGTGCTAACTGGTCATTTATATATATGCAGTATATAAGTTAATTAAAGCAGAGTTAATTATATCATGTACACAAAACAAAGACAAACATTCACATATAGTCTGTATAGATTAATGGGGGTAAGCGTTGTTACCAAGCACAAGGCGGTAGTGTGGTCAAGAACCATGCCCGACCGCCTTTGTCTCCCCAGTGGCAATATTTATACACACCGCATCGGGTACTCATTTGAGGCTGAGTCGACCTAGGAGAGGCCCAGGACTGGTTCAAATAATCGTCACCGGTGCTGGTGGCTGTGAGCAGGAATCGAACTCAGGTCACCAGGTTAACAGCGCAACGCACTAACTATCCACTTCTTCACCACTCCCCACAACACATGCCTCACACACACACACGACAACCACCGCCATTCACCACTAAGTGGCGGTGACGTCACCATGGCGCTTGTGCCACGCTATGTGCACCTTGAGGCCACGTGAAGTGTCGAACGCCCGCTGGCAGGGGGTCACGGTACAGACCCAGGTGCCACGGGTTAACCGACTGAGATGACTGGCCGACGCACCACACACACACACACACGCGCTCAAACACTCACACAGACAGAGGCACGCAACAACACTTCTCTCTGTGCCACTCCCTCCCCATCACCATCATCATCGTCGTCGTCGTCGTCGTCACCCACCTTGATGGCCTCGAGCGAGTCGTACTTGTCCAGCTTGGTCGTGTTGAGCCCGCTGAGCGCGGGGCTGAGGCCGGGGTTCAGCGACGCGGGGCCCTGCCCGCCGGGCGCGCGGAGCGGCCCGGCGAGGAGGCCGCTCGGCGGCGGAGGGCCCCGCGGCAGGCGAGCCAGGGCGAGCGTGGCCCCGCGCGACGCTCCGCCGCCCCTGGCCGCGTCGCCGCCGCAGCAGCAGCAGCAGCAGCGGCGGCGCCAGCTCACGAGCAGCAGCGCGAGCAGGCAGCCCAGCAGCCCGCAGGTGAGGCCGGCCGCCACCACGTGGGCCAGCGAGAACTCTGGAGAGCGGCGACAACGGCGGTTACGGTCGTGCGACGCGAGTTCAACCCCCCTGGAGAGCTGGGCGGACGTTCAAACGAACTCGCAGGCAAACACCTCGTTGTGAAGGACCCCTGGGTTTGAACTTCCACGAAGCTCATGGCCCACCCGATACCGCATCCGCTGCACGAACCGTGGCAGATGGTTTGGCTCCGAGCCACCAACGACGATTAGCACCTCCCCATTGTAGATTTGAGAGGGGACGTTTTTACTTGACTCTCCATGTGTCTGTTATTTTAAACATGAATTCATTTGTTTCGTTCAATGACGTGCACAATGCTTGGTTAAATAGATATTTGGAAACTCTAATTTTATAGAGGGGCGTCGAATCGCGGTGCAACTGATTGGATTTGGGTAACTATTGTTGCTTTATCCATATTTGCATTTTATCTCCAGCTTATTTTTAACGACACAAAAAATCCCCCCCCCCACCCATACTATGTGATACAAAGCATGAACTGCTCAACTGGGGACATTTGAATACCAGCAAAGGAATAAGGAACATGAACTACACAGATTATCATCGCAGAGTGAAAAATTCAAGATTAATAGCGGGGGCATTAAAGAAGAACAATTTAGGGTTCTGTGTAAAGCCACGTGTTTATCTGGCTATTGTAAAAGCCCCACGTTCCATTTGTCCGTTTATCTATTTGTTTGTCCGTCAACTGATTCATGAGAGCCTTTCAGAAGGTGTGGGGGTAAAAAATGATCCAGCAGGTTTAGAGGAATTGTCGACCCCCCCCCGAAACAAAATACGTAAATGTATTTTGTAGGCACATATACCTACTGCACACCCTGAAGTCGTGTCTGCACACATTGGGGGGCGGTGTGGAAGAAGTGGACATCAGTGGGGGCGACGGGCGAGGCAACTAAGCACCGAGAAGCCCCCCCCCCCCCCCCGAAGGAGCTTTGTAAGTTATTCGAAAAAAGTGAACGGACTGTCCTTTAGAGAGAATTACCTTCACTCAATTAGAACGCATTTCTGAAATGCCATGCGCTTTAGCCACATAGCAATTATCGTCTTACCTCCACATTTCCTTTTGTCTTCCTTTGTCGAGTATGCCACATTTACTGGTATTTCTGAAAATAAAGGGCATTGTTGAAACTTCATTAAGCATGCCCGTTCAATTAAGTCTCACTGTGATAACTCATTGGCTGTGCTCATTCTACAGGAAGATGTTTGCATTACAGACATAATAATAATAATGACATTTGATTGGCCCATTACTGCACTGAGACACACAACTTTCAAATAAATAAAACATTTAGAGATGTATTATTATCACAAAACAATGGTGTGTACTTAACAAAAAAGTTGCGGAGACGCTTTACCTGGGAATATTCTGCGATGGTAAAGGTTCAGCCCTGCAACTGCCTGCTCACACCACTGCTGGCAGAAGGGTCTACACTAGAGGGAGTGCTACAGAACCCCTCTGGGGAGAATTTGGCCCATTCTCCCAATTCACCATTTTAAGGCTGCATGTGTTTCATACAGCATATGCATACCTCAAATGAAGTGGACAAAAAATGATGGCAGTCTCAAGCACAGTTGAGCTTTTCGATTTTATTTACTCTCATTTGTCCGCGCACACTGTCTCGACTGGAGTCAGTCACATTTTCCCGAATGTATTTTTTGCGATGACCATAGACACTAAGACCACAATGCACCTCTTCAGGACACGCTGATGTTTTTTTGCATTGCACGAAGGCAGTTGTTATTTTTTTTAAAAACACATTTCTGTGCAGTGCTTGAAATGTATTATCGTGCACCAAGCCTGTGATCGTATCTATGCATGATGGGGATTTCCCCCCCCCCACCCCCATCATGCACAGATTTTGATTGTCTCTACTGCTAACTTTTTTTTGCACGTTTCATTTGGTCTGCATGTGAAGGGGGAGTGGTGTAAACAATACAAGATAACGACGACTGCCAGAGACTGACCGATGGCATTGGGGTGAAGGGGGCAGCCCCTTTCCTCCGTGCTGTTGCCCGGACATCGGCGGACGTCGGGAAAGGGCGCGGTGCAAAGGCGCGAGCGGTAACGCCGTCCTCCCGAGACGCCGCACTCACTCCACGTGCTCCACTCCGACCAGCCGTCTGGCACGACACGCGGCATCCGCGGCTCAAACGCGGGGTGTGGTGCTGCTGCTGCTGCTGCGTGTGCTGTGCGCATTGTACAACGCTCGCGCAGCATAACCCTTTCCCGTTCCGATGATGTGCGTGCGTGTACGTCATCAGTGTTTTTCTTCCGAATCGAATCGGAATAAAAACTAAAATGAAATAACTTTATCAGGACTGAGGCTCCCACAAGGGCGTGTGGCACAGTTTGGTGCCGGCTATAATAGAGTGCGGTCGTGTCGCTACAGTTCTCTGCGGCGAGTACAGCGTCTTTAAAAAACAACGATGCTACACCTCTCTATATAAAAACGCCAACCGCTTGCATGTTCCGAGATTCAGCGCTGAATGGGACCTACCCTGAAACTTGCCTACGTCTCGGAACAGGAATAGGGTTAAACGGAACTTCCTATCCAAGGAAGCAGTGGGTTATATATGTACCTGTTACCGACCCTGAGCCAGTGATAGAAATTTCACATTCCCGTGTTGAGCAATTCATAATAAGTAGCTAGGCACACAAAGGTTCATCCCCAAATTCAATGACTTTTAATGATTTGCAAAATTCATTTTGATTCAGGGATCAATTTAATTTTCATCTCGTTTGTATCGTCTCTTTTTTTATTGTGCATAGTTTGCATCTCATTTGTTCCGTGTTGCCTGCTCTATTAGGCTTAATGTAATTTGCGTAAATCATAGATAATTGATACGAGGATGATTTGATCCACGCATTATGAGCACAGTAATTGATAACGATTGATTAATCACTACATGCCAACAAGCAATGATCCCTAATCTCACATAGTAATATAATATTTGTTTTTTTTATTAATCTTAAACAGAAGCATTAACTGTATTGCCTGCTGGTGTTTTCGCATTAACCCAAGCCGGTGACGTAATTATTTGCCCTTTTGATTGCGGAATCATTTTCAATTAAAAATGTTGTAAAAAAAATGTAAACTAACAGCAATTTCGATACACACTGAAAACAAAGCAACGATACAGGATTACCAGTACCTTACCTTGAAGAATCCGAGTAGCAAATTACTCTCCAACACTGTGCAGGGCCTATATAACATTAAAATAGCTCCCTGCTCAATCAAACCTCAATTTAATAGTGTCAATTCCATGTTCTCATGACAGCGGCAAGTCATTCCATTGGGCAACCACTGGCAGCGTGTGCAGCAAAATTAATTTAAAACCGACACCGGTGACACTTCAGTACCCAGAGCCCAATAAAACAAAAACTAAACCAGGCACGCACTTAGAAATGTCATAAAAGGAATAGCAATAATGCGTAAGAAATCTGAAATGTGCCCAGTATCTGCGGTAATGTAGTGACATTTGGAAAGTGCAAGCCCTCGCACACAACCCTTGTATTCACGGAGTTTGCGGGTCGAGAAGCAGGCAGGAACACCTGAATATTTTTCTCTGCGGCGCTCACATTGTTTACTATTAGCTTTTTTTTTACCAGGTAAGGCCCACTGAGCTATGCAGCTCTTTTTCAGAAGCGACCTGCCAATCACAAATGATAGCTCAATTAAGCGGCTTATCACGTGGAAATGTATGGCCGCCAAATACTCTAAACGCGCGTTACAAAATGCGGAGGGAAAAACTGGAGGACCTGGAGAAAAAAAATCCACGCGAACATGGGGGGGGAGAATACGCAAACTCAAAATCCGCATGCATCAGGGTCGGGATCAAACCCACAACAATGTCCTGCATACCGGGCGAGGTAGTTAACATCTCGCCACCGCGGCGTCAAAGATGAAGACAGGGGAGGATTCGGTGAGCGCGGCGTTTCTCATGAAGAAAATCCACGCTCCGGTCATGTTGTATAGGCGCGTCTAATGCGGCGCCGTCAGTACCTGGGCAGCTCTGCGTGTTGCACAGAGCCTCCTCTGTGTGCAAGCCCAGGCAGATGTCCCCTCCGTGTGCCGGCGGGGGGTGCGTGCAGGCGCGGCTGCGCTGCCGGTGGCCTCCTCCACACGTGGCCGAGCAGGCAGACCAGCTGATCCAGCACGACCAGCCGCCGTCCACTGCTCACGGACAAGGAGCATGGACCACCATCGTGCGATCTCCGGGCAGCAGCAGCGGCAGCAGCAGCAGCAGCAGCGGCAGCAGCGGCAGCAGCAGCAGCAGCAGCGGCAGCAGCGGCTTTTGGCTCGCCGTCGAAAAAAGACGGTCACCGCATCGCGCGCTTTCAGATGCGCTTCTGCGCACTGGAGGTGTGCACTTTTACATCTAGATTGAAAACTCATTCGTTGAGAGCTGCTTTTTGTGTTTATCTTGTTGTACTTCTCCCACACCTCCGATGAGCACGGTTGGCTCCGTACAGTGCGAAATGAGTTCAACATACATACAACATCAACGTTGGCATAAGCCTGATTTGCACGACCAACACTCGAGTGGATGCGGAGGCTTTGTCGGCTGTTAGTTTTAAGTCTTTTTATTTTTCTGAGAGGTGGTAAAGTGACTCAGGGGTCAGAGGGCTTAGCTGACACCATCGAGAGCCTGGGCTTGAACCTGGACAACCACCTCTGTGGTTAACTGGTTTCTCAAGTCGAGTGAGCTCAGAGTCTCAGCCCCAGTCACCATTAATTGTACAAAGCACAGACACGCATAATAAAAATGGGTTTTTTCCAAATTCGAAAAAATAAATGTACGGTTTAAATACTATGTGATGAATGTCTATAGAGCAACACATAAGAAGTGTTGTGGTATCACATTCCACAGGCCATTCTCTTTCTTCAAATTTCATCATCTCATTAAGTAAAATCTGTTGTACAATTAGAGTACAATTAGGGGGAAAAACAACAACGAATACATGTTTTAACCCGTTCTTATGTTGGACAGCCCACAATGTACTTCCTAAGTATGCACCTACAAGTTACAATCATTTTCTTCAGTGGATCGTGCCCTCCTTTAACACAAGAACACAGGCTTGCACGGCTTCTTGCGCGAACGCGTGCGGTTCCAAACCTGGGCAGGCCTGCAGGTTGCATTCCTGGAACTCCGTCGGGGTTCCGGGGCACTGCTGCTGTTGCTGCGACTGCTGCTGCTGCTGCTGCCCCGTCAACATTGCCGCTCCGGCTCCGCCTGCGGCGCCGCACACACGCCTGCGGCTGCGGAAGCCGCGGCCGCATCGGTGCGAGCACTGGGACCAGGCGGCCCAGGGAGACCACGCGGTGCTGGTGGCTGCCGCCCCCCCGGCACGAAGCCCCACGTCGCCTGGAGTGGAAGGAGAACCGGCGGCGAAAGCAAAAAGAAAAAAAAGTTACTTTAAGTGGAAGATGCGACGCAAAATACCGAACTGCTCTTTTGAGTAAAGGCGCAGGGGCAGCCCTGCAACTACCTTACCTGTGCCTTGACTGGCGGAAGGGCCTGCGCTCGAGGGTATTTGACCTACGTGTCTTTACCGAATAGAACCAAAGAGTATGGCTTGGAAGAGTTTGGAGTACCCATGCTTTAATGCGTTAACCACAGTGCCACCCAACCAATTGTGTTCAATAATTTTTAATGACTTGACAAATGTGTGTGTAGGGCAGTGCTCAAGTCAGTTGAAATCAGCATTGGAGACTCCACATTCCCAGGGGCCAGTGCCTTAATAGGAAGACCACTGTCAATTTGCACTTCCTGCACAGAGCCACCGCTGTTGCTTCCTACAACTTGGTTCTCATTTGGCCGACTCCAGGAGAAATGAAGAGCTGAGACAGCACCCGATAGGGATTGAAGCTTCTCATTGTTGCTTATGGCACTCGAACCTCGGCAGCTGACGGGGCTGTGTACGTTCAGTGATGTCTGGCAGCCTCGTCTCGCTCGTATCCGGCTCACCACTCGGGGGCACAGGACCTGCACCTTCGCCAGCTAATGAGACCGCACTCCAGCCCGTAGCGTCACCAGTGCCAGTGTGTGTCCATGGGGGGAGGCCCTAAAAATAAATTAGTGTTGACCCCCTCCCTCACTTAACTTATCAAGTGCTCGTGCGATGACAGAAGACACAGGGATAGAGGTGCATGCGTGGAGATAGCGATGTAGTTAGATACCAGAAGTGTGGACAGTGAATAGATCCTAAATGAGGTGAGAGAGGCGCAGAGGGGACAGATTTGTCGTGCGAGGAGAGAGATGTCTGCAAGAGACGGTGATGCAGTGAGACGAGATAAGGGAACTGCAGACAAAGCAGAGACAAAAACGACGAATTACCCATCTTCCATTTAGTTACTTCCTTACTATCACGATCTAAATTCGAGCTGATATTTGATCCTTATTATGATTCTTTTTTTTGCTGAAGAAAATCAGGCCTAGGGCCCCACCCTCCATGGAGCGCTCGTCGCTGGTGCCTAGCGCCCCACCCTCCATGGAGCGCTCGTCGCTGGTGCCTAGGGCCCCACCCTCCATGGAGCGCTCGTCGCTGGTGCCTAGCGCCTCACCCTCCATGGAGCGCTCGTCGCTGGTGCCTAGGGCCCCACCCTCCATGGAGCGCTCGTCGCTGGTGCCTAGGGCCCCACCCTCCACGGAGCGCTCGTCGCTGGTGCCTAGAACCCCACCCTCTATGGAGCGCTGGTCGCTGGTGCCTAGGGCCCCACCCTCCATGGAGCGCTCGTCGCTGGTGCCTAGGGCCCCACCCTCCATGGAGCGCTCGTCGCTGGTGCCTAGGGCCCCACCCTCCATGGAGCGCTCGTCGCTGGTGCCTAGGGCCCCACCCTCCATGGAGCGCTCGTCGCTGGTGCCTAGGGCCCCACCCTCCATGGAGCGCTCGTCGCTGGTGCCTAGGGCCCCACCCTCCATGGAGCGCTCGTCGCTGGTGCCTAGGGCCCCACCCTCCATGGAGCGCTCGTCGCTGGTGCCTAGCGCCTCACCCTCTATGGAGCACTCGTCAGCGCCACCGGCGGTGCCGGCGGTGCCGGCGGCACAGAAGCGCATCTCCACCTTGCGCCGGCTCGCGTCCAGCCCGCCGGGCTCGGCGAGGCGAGCGCGGCACGTGTAGCGGAAGCGCTGCTCGTGCCGCCCGCGAGCCGACGCGTTCCCACCGCCGCCGCCCGCCACCGGCACCCAGGGGGTCCACGGCGTGCTGCGTCGCGTCTCGGGGCACGGGTCCAAGCTGCACGCCTCGTGCTCCTGCGGCGGTGACCCCACGGGGAGAGGAGGAGGGGTGGGTGCGGCGGGGGAGCGAGTGAGATCACTGAGAGAGACAAAGATCCCCCCCGTGTAGCCTTAACAGACTGATGATTGCACCCGCGGGTATCGAACCCAGGTCACCGGGTTCACAGCGCAATGTGCTATCCCGGTGTTCCACTGCTCTAACGCATACATGCATACAAACAAACATACATCAAGTGCTGTTAGTAAGCACCTATGAAGGCTGGCACAGTACACGAGGGGATGGAAGGCCAGCACCACGCCAGACCGCCTTTGTCTCCCCAGTGGCGATGTTTTTACACATCTTTACAGGTACTCATTTTGACGCTGAGTCGACCTAGGGGAGGTCCAGGACTGGCTCAGATAATCGCCACCGGTGTCGACCGTGAGCGAGAATTAAACTCAGCCCACCAACTTCGTAGGGCCGCGCACAAACCGCTCCACCACCGCTCCCCGCAATGGGCGGAGTGAAATAACGGAGCGAGAGAGCCACACAAACGCACACACACCGTGCATTAATGTGTGCATATTGGGGACGCAGGGGGAGGCAGACGTCCTCTGAAATGTTGGACAGGAATTCAAGGGTTTGCTCCGTTAATGAACACTCTTCATGGATCCCTTGCCTCACCAAACTTCGGCCCCCAATGGCTACATAGGACCTTAACATCAAATGTCGCCCCATGTGCCCGACGCAGAGGCAACCACACAGTAAGGTGCCGCGATAGAGACGGCGAACTGGAAGCATATAAATCGAGACAGAAGCAATCAATCAGATTCCAAACTCTCCACCATGGCCAAGACCAAAGAACTCTCCAAGGATGTCAGGGACAAGATTGTAGACCTACACAAGGCTGGAATGGGCTACAAGACCATTGCCAAGCAGCTTGGTGAGAAGGTGACAACAGTTGGTGCGATTATTCGCAAATGGAAGAAACACAAAAGAACTGTCAATCTCCCTCGGCCTGGGGCTCCATGCAAGATCTCACCTCGTGGAGTTGCAATGATCATGAGAACGGTGAGGAATCAGCCCAGAACTACACGGGAGGATCTTGTCAATGATCACAAGGCAGCTGGGACCATAGTCACCGAGAAAACAATTGGTAACACACTACACCGTGAAGGATTGAAATCCTGCAGCGCCCGCAAGGTCCCCCTGCTCAAGAAAGCACATATACATGCCCGTCTGAAGTTTGCCAATGAACATCTGAATGATTCAGAGGACCACTGGGTGACAGTGTTGTGGTCATATGAGACCAAAATGGAGCTCTTTAGCATCAACTCAACTCGCCGTGTTTGGAGGAGAAGGAATGCTGCCTATGACCCCAAGAACACCATCCCCACCGTCAAACATGGAGGTGGAAACATGCTTTGGGGGTGTTTTTTCTGCTAAGGGGACAGGACAACTTCACCGCATCAAAGGGACGATGGACGGAGCCATGTACCGTCAAATCTTGAGTGAGAACCTCCTTCCCTCAGCCAGAGCATTGAAAATGGGTCGTGGATGGGTATTCCAGCATGACAATGACCCAAAACACACGGCCAAGGCAACAAAGGAGTGGCTCAAGAAGAAGCACATTAAAGTCCTGGAGTGGCCTAGCCAGTCTCCAGACCTTAATCCCATAGAAAATCTGTGGAGGGAGCTGAAGGTTCGAGTTGCCAAACGTCAGCCTCGAAACCTTAATGACTTGGAGAAGATCTGCAAAGAGGAGTGGGACAAAATCCCTCCTGAGATGTGTGCAAACCTGGTGGCCAACTACAAGAAACGTCTGACCTCTCTGATTGCCAACAAGGGTTTTGCCACCAAGTACTAAGTCATGTTTTGCAGAGGGGTCAAATACTTATTTCCCTCATTAAAATGCAAATCAATTTATAACATTTTTGACATGCGTTTTTCCGGATTTTTTTGTTGTTATTCTGTCTCTCACTGTTCAAGTAAACCTACCATTAAAATTATAGACTGATCATTTCTTTGTCAGTGGGCACACGTACAACATCAGCAGGGGATCAAATACTTTTTTTCCCTCACTGTAATGCACATAGGATTGTATCACCTGGCAAAACATGCCTAGGAATAATGTATTATATATGTGTGTGTGTGACGATTATCTGAACTGGTCCTGGGCCCCCCGTTGGTCGACTCGGCGTCAAATGAGTACTAGGGAGACAAATGTAGCCGGGCGTGGTGCTGGTCACTCAGCCCCTGGTGTGCCGTGCCGAGCTTTATAGGTTCTTGCCGAGAGCAATTTGCCCCAAACGCCTGTTGAGGCGATACCGGGGGATATTTCTGTACGTGTGTAAAGCTGTTTTCATCACAAGCGGTCGTGTGGTCAGCTGTTGGAACGCCGCTCATAACAAAGCAGCAGCTGCAAATACGGCGATAAATAATTGTCCAGATAGAATACCTTTGCATTCACGGTAAAAAAAAGCATTTGATTTGTTCTCACTCACCCGAACTCCAAATCCATGCCGAATCGCACAGGGGGAGTGATTGACCAAATGTGTGCACGAGGTCGTAACGTTATTTCCGTGTTGCAGACAGCCCGTTGGCTGTGATGTAGGACATGGCTTCTGTGCGGCTATCTCGCTTGAGCCGCCTCTCAGGAAGACTGATGGCCCACGGCACGTTTAATGCCCCGCCGTGCGGCTGTGTGTAATGTGCGCTCGGAAAGCGTCGCATCAGCGGGTTTTTTTTTTGAAAGCCACCCGCGCACTTTTCAACCAGCTTTATCCGTCACCTGTGCCATTAAATCATCTGTGCTCGAGGGACGACGGTGCCATTAGATTAGTGGGGGGGGGGGGGGGTACGAGATGGATTACAGCTGCGGGGCACTATGCTGTAGGCAGTCAATCCAGCAGAAGACAGAGAATGGATCGTCGTGATGATGAGGAAGTGGGTGGAGGAGGGGGAGGAGGTGATCATGTTTGTTTGGTTTAATCACAGTTGCTGAGCACAGTGACCAATGGCCCAAAATGCCAAGCGGCCAGCAACAAACAGCGCAGATGCACGTACTGGAGCCCTGTATAATTGCTGATGATGAAAGATACTTGACAGCTGTTTATATAGTCTTGGTTCTTTCAGTAAAGTCACGTAGATATAAAAATATTAAAATTAAAAATATATATTTAAAAAAAAATTTAAAGCAAAAAACTACAATAAAAAACAAAAATAGTCAAATAAAAAAATAGAAAATAATAAAAGCTACATTTTCTTTTATTTTTTCTTTTACTATTTTTATTTTTTATTGTGCTTTTTTGCTTTTATTATTTTCAATGTATTATTATTTATATTTTATTTTATCTACATGACTTTAACGGAAGAACCAAGAATATGAATTCCTGCAGTCACGAATGTTTTAAGTCAAAAGTTAGCTGCTTATATATTTATTTATATTTCTACAAAGTCTAGTTCAATGTTTCCATAGAAAGGAGTGGATCTTTTTATTTTTATTTTTACAAAATTAGTCACGGGCCTTTCTCGTTTGGGATTTTGCTCATTGTACGCTTAGTCCTCACACAACGCGTTTTTGACATAACGCGGTTCTGCCATGAAGGAACACTTTTCTCACCACGTGGAACACGCACCGTTATAGTGTGCGTCGTTATAACGTGGAACTTGGGTCGTTATAACGTGGAACGTGCGTCGTTATAACGCGGAACGCGTGCCGTTGTAGTGTGGAACACGTGCTGTTGTAATGTGGAACGCGCACCGTTATAACGTGCGCTGTTATACCACGGTTTCTGAGTGGTCGACGACGAAATACTTTTTGAGCTAAGCGGCTGAGCGGTGTGACGCAGTACGTGGAATGATACAGTAACGTGGCGGCATACCCTCCGTTATTCGCCCCGTCATCTCACTGCGTGTGCGTAGTACTTCGTATCTCGCCAAACGTTATTGTCACATTATTTATGTGGAAATTATCTTCACTTCACGCTTTTTTTTGCTTACCGCAGCACCTCCCAGGAACGCATCTACCACGTTAAATGAGGACTTACTGTCCTGGCAAATGATGGCCTACTTTTGCAAGTACTGAATTAATTCCTTGAATGTGTGCTAACTGGCTCTGGAGAGGGCTCCAAACCCAAAGCTAACCAGCTAACTGTGCTTAGCTGTCCTATGGTAGAATTGAATCATATTAAAGCATCACGATGCCTATAATCTGTCCGGGTGGTGCTGCGCTCATCACGCGGAAGGTTACGTTGTAACGCGAGAGGGTCACCTGTTGATGCCATCCTCTTAGTGTGAATGAAGTTAGTGCGTGTTGCGGAGAGTTGATGGTGGTTCTATGGAGAGACTGGCTCCGACCATAATAATGTGGAATTCCCATTGCTTGATTAGGATCCACCAGCAGAGACGAGTGTCACCCCAGCGCTCCTTTGAGCAGTGATACAATTTGACTTTCGCGAGGAGATGAGATTTTGAAAAAAAATAGCAGTTATTTTCCTGACTTCCAAATTCTCTTAGACACATTTCAACGGCTCTCCACACGAGTGCCTCCAGAGACAAACAGAACAAAGAATCTCCTACTTTAATGTTGAAAAGAGAGGCAATTGATACCAATTATCGGTGTTCCAATGATACAAAATTCCACCCGATTTCATAACTGCATGTGGCAATCTCTCCTCAGTTACATTCACAGCAGAGGCACCGAATAATGTGGTGGTTCGTGCGTTATAAGGGAAGGAAATGAGAGTTCTGAAATCTGAACAACAACAAAAACGGAGAATAACAAAAGGAAGCGATACGCAGATAAAACAATATCGCATCAACGTGGATGGGTGTGGAGCTAAATGTAGTATTTACCAGCAGCCTCTATAATATGGTGTCTGAAGAACACGCAGTACAACCCTTAAAACACATCGGAGAGCTATCGGGCATTGTGAAAACATTCACGTATGAAATTGGCAATACATTATTGTTTAAGAGGCTATCTTTGGCGGTATATGTACAATAAGTACTATAATCGTAGCCCATAATTGCTTAGGGACCAATGTAATAGACATCCCTTTGAAGGAAGTCAACAGTATGCATGTTGAACTTCTTCCCCATCGTGCACAGCCAACCGTGCTAATCGGAGGTCTGTACAATTGTTAGACCGTCATAGGAATGTGTAATATCAATTGATAGGAATGAAGTCTTATTCATTCAAGCTATCGACATGTAAAGAGATCAATGTTTCTATATGTCTGTCCATCTGTCAGTCTGAGTGCCTGCTTGTTTCATTCTGTTATCATTGTTATCATTCTGTTATCATTGTTATCATTCTGTTATCATTGTTATCATTCTGTTATCATTCTGTTATCATTCTGTTATCATTCTGTTTTGCGTGCCTCCGATTAGCACGGTTGGCTACTTACAGTGCGAAAGAAGTTCAACATACATCACTATTAACTATATTACTGTTAAATCTTTTCTGCATTTCATTCTAAAAAAAACTAAACAAACGTGGAGCCCTATTCCAATCCACACTGGATAAAAGCCTCTCCACGTCGGGCTGATTGTGGGGGGCTCTTTAACCATATTTTACCACGCTGGTCACTGAAGAGAGGCCCTAGACCAGTTTAGATACCACTTTAGATTCCACTCGCCACCGGCGTTAGCCGTGGCTAGGAAAGCTAGCTCAGGTCACCGGGGTCATAGCGCAGCAGTGCACTAGCGACGGCACCACCACACCACCCCCGTCACATTTAATATTTATATATAAAAAATATACTATTTAACTAAGGAAAGCGTCAGACAATAGCTTTTCCGGCAAAGCAGGAACAAAAATGTTGATTTCTTTTTTCAAGAGCAGAAATTGACTTCGCATCAGCGATATTCAGTGTCAACACCCAGACCAGAGGATATCCTCACATGCAATTGCAGACACGCACACTCGGTAAAGATTCCCCGTGCAGCCTTGATAATTATGTATGCTGAACTTCCGTTGCAGTCGGTCCCAAGAGTCTTTTAAAGTACTTTTAAAAGACTGTCGGGACAACGACTGTTTGCGAGCACCTATTAAGACTGGAAACAGCACTCAGGCGTGTGGCGTGGCCTGTACCATTCCTGGTGAACTTTGTCTCCACAAAGATGACGTTTACACATTTCACCAGGTACCTATTTAAGGTTGAGTTGACCTAGGATAGGATCAACACTGATTCAGATATAACTGACTCATGATGTCGTACAGACAATCACACACACACACGTGCGCAAAAACACAGAACCAACCATTTGTACAGGTTCTGTGTTGAGCAGACTTCGCTACGATCCCAGTGACCTGCGATCAACGCACGAAAGCAGAAAGGTCGCTGTGAACCTTTCCCGCACGTCTCCTCAATTGAACCAGCTTCAAATGAGTGCGTGGCGTGGTGTGTCAGCACCACCAATGGAGAGACGAATGTGGACAGGCACGTGTGTGCCACACCGCCCTCCGCCCTTACGTGCGCCTCAATAGGTGCTCGCACACAATTGTACACAGCAGCACGCACGTAGGAAAGTACCCTCCATGCAGCCTGATGGACGGTCGGGGAAATCGCTGTTAGCGAGCGCCCATTCGGGTGAGCGTGGCTCACACGAGGGTGAGGTGGAGCCGGATCCAAGCTCAGCCGCCTCTCTTTTCTCAGCGCTTGACGCTCACGCACTCTCGTGCGGGAGGCTTGCTACGAATCTGACGAGCGCCTTGCTCGACTCGTGCCGCGCCCGTCAGTGCTGCCAGGCTTGCGGGGAAGGTGCTCTGACCTACATTCCAGGGCCCTCTGCTGCAGCGTCCCCGCTCGCCTCCTCGTCACCCGACACGGCAGATGCCTCCCGGCAACCCGCTGCCCGCTCGTCCGCTCGGCGAAGTGCCACTCGCGCGTCAGCGTCAGCGCGCCGTGAGGCCCCCCCAGGCCACTGGTGAGCGAGCGCACCTCCTGCGACACCGCGGCGCTCGCTCCCCCCCCCGACCTCACCCCGCACTCACGCCCGTATCGCAAAGGACAAAGACAAAGGGTCCCCCGTGTAGCCTGTTACAGACCGTTGAGGGCAAGGGCTGTAAGCGAGAAGCACCAATGACGAGGGGGTGGGTGGCCAGCACCACGCCCGGGCCGCCGTTGTCTCCCGAGTGGCGATGTCTGCACACCGCTCCAGGTAATAAATTGAGGCTGAGTCGACCTAGGTGGAGGCCCAGGACCGTTTAGAATAATCGTCACTGGTGTTGTCCGTTGAGCGGGAATCGAACTTTGATCATCAGGTTCTGAGCGCAGTGCCCTGAACGCTCCGCCACAGCTCCTAACACCCCACATCGCTTCCACTCTGTGACACCCCCACCGTCTCCCTCATTCGCTCACCCAAGCGTCCTTCTATTGCACCGCCCCCACTCTCTCGGGCAGCCCGCTCACCTGCGCTGCCTGGAGCCTCCGTTACGAGGACCGAGGTTGTTTTTCCCCCCTCTCTCTCTCTCTTAACGCCGGTTCATCGACCGGCCGCTCATGTGCAGTTTATTTTCTTCCGCTCCGTGGATGCAAACGCGCCCAACGGAAATGGGGCAGTGTGAGGAGGTACCGCACGTACCCGGGTCGACGGCTGAAGAAATTCCATGCGGCATTTGTCAGTGGGAACATTTGGGGTGTTTGAAACGCGTGCGTGCTTTGGCGAGTTTAAATTCGGCTTCTCATAATGAGGCAGAATGGGTGCATTGGACCAGTTAAGAATTCGCGTTTCATACCGGAGGGATTTCATCGATGACTTGGAGCAAGGATCATGCAGGCGCTGAACCTCTGAATGCGGCAACAAGTGCTGACCGTGGCTTGTGGAGCCAGTGTACAGAGGTCACACGGGAAGTGTGGCCACATAGTCATTCATCCCTATGATGGTAAAGTAGACACACACTAGACTCCAAAAACTGGCCATCGATTTTACATCGATATTACATCGATGACCAGTTTTTTGGGGCGCTGTGGTGGCGAGATGTTATCTCCCTCGCCTGGTATACAGGAGGTGGTGGGTTCGATCCCGATCCTGACGCCTGCTGTATATCTGGAGTTTGCATGCTCTCTCCGGGTCCTCCGGGTTTTCCCTCCACATTTAGAATCGACGTCACGCGTCTAGGGTATTTGGCTGCTATAAATTTGCACGTGATAAGCCACTTCATTTGTGGCCAGGTCGCTTCTGAAAAATAGCTACAAAGGCTCAGTGGGCCATAGCCGGTAAAATTCAAATAGCCGATCGTAGTTTGGTTGAACGTTTCGTGACCGGTGGCACAGGGTGGTGGCGGCGGCTCACCGCGTCGCAGCCGGTGCAGGCGGTGTCTCCGGCGTCGTCGGCGGTGCACGTGCGCCTCCGCGTGCGCGTGCCGCCCCCGCAGGGCGCGCTGCACGGCTCCCACGGGCTCCACGGCGCCCAGGACGCGGGCACGGGGCAGCGGGCGCGCTCGTTGCAGAACCTGCGCACGCGGGAGTGCCGATGAGACGGAGCGAATCAAAGTCTCACCGTCGGTACGTGCGGTGGTGTTTCGCGCCGTTCTCGTAGCGCGAGGCGCTCTCTCGCGATAGGAGCTGTTGTCGCAGGCGACCACAGGGTCTGCGGTCGGGAGTATCATGGCAGGGGGGCGATTCCGCTACGTGTGCTTTACCCAATGAGGTTATTTGCGAGTAATTTAATTTGCCAAGAGTGGACCGTGACGCCCGTGCGATCTTTACGTCCGCTGTGAAGCAGATGCGGCGCTTTGCTTTTGGTTTTTATTTTGGCTAAATAAACCCACGGTATTAACCAGGGCGGCCGCCGGGCTCGTTACCGCGAACCTCTGCGGCAGGCGTGAAATGCGCCACCAAATGCGCTACCGCTCATCCGTGTCACGTTATTCGCATCGTCCTTTCCTACACGCGCGTCAACGATGGGCAGCTCTAAACATCGGGGCTTCACGTAAAAATCTCACTGTCTCCCTGCTCGAATGAGAAACGCGGCAGCGAGACCGACGCCGTTGGTGGCCCTGAATCAGTGGTTAGAAACCCACGAGCCCCCAATGTGGGGAGCAGTCTCCCCGTAGGTCACCACCGCCGATGTCCCACGGAGTGGTTACACATGTTAAACACACTGTACACTGCTGGAGGGATGGGTAAACAATGCTTCAATTATAAGTCAAGCTCTTTAGCAGCAGCACCAAGAGTGCGGGTAGAGGCCCTGTGGAGCTCGAAAGAGGATGGCTTTGTTTCTTCCGGGTTCAGATCTGCGGAATGTCGTCCTTTAGGCAGAATGGCACCCATCTGAGCCGCGTGAACTTTTCCACTGCAGGCTCGGGCTCACGAATGGACATGAGCATCGAGCACGAAGGCACACTGACTTTGACACTCCGCATGGGAGATTTGTAAAGAGCAGGTGGCTGATCGGCGCTGAGGATGTACGAGGGACGATAAAACGAACAAGTCCATCACCTCACAGCGATGCGGCGCTACTCCTGCGGAATGCGAGACTCGGACTTTTCTGTCACCCCTCGTGCGTGTGTATGTATACACAGTTCTATGCGTACATGCACACATTCGAATAAACGCATGCGCACTTACGCACTCGTACCTATGCAACGACGCACAAATTGGCCAACGGTGGCTTTGAACAGTGGACCTAACAGGCAGGCAGGCAGGCAAGAACACGGAGGGTATATGTGTGTGTGTGTGAACACGGAATATGTGTGAACAGGGGGAAATGATCAACGTTGAAACAGGCACCGGTGACGGCAGACACACACCGAACCCGCCGGCTAAGCACGGGCGCAAGCGTGAGGACGGGCAAGCACATCGGCGAGGAGGGCCGGAAGCAAGCCATGCTGCCAAGGCGGTTCGATGGCGCAAGGTGGCAAGGCAGCTTGGCTGTCGGTCACAGACGACCCAAAGGATAGCAAAAAAAAATGGTAACAACGAGAATAAATACGCGTGAATGGAAGCGTCGATGGTGAGCTGCAACTGACAACTTCGACTGCCATAGCCTAAACTGTAGCTCCGTTGTGACTGATGGGGAATACATTTCGATTTAAAGCTTTCGTGACTGCAAGGATTCATCTTCTTTGGTTCTTTCGGTAATAGTTGGATGCGAAGGGACGGATGCACGTTTGCTGTGATTGAATGCGTGTGTGTTTTTAAGCTTTGTAAAGCTCGTGATTCGACAGCCTTGGCCAATGTATGAGCCGACCTCGAGCACCCACATGATGAAGGTTTCAGCATTGTCGAATATAGCGAATTAAATTACCATAAAGGTGTAACCATATTAATGTCATGGCAGTGATGAAGATGGTTGAATTATATTGACTAGCATTGAAATATTAACTTAGGGCACCGTTTATTATTATAATTGCAGTGGTTTACCCAGGAAAGCCTGAGTCTCAAGACTTGAATTCAGGAGGGTCCTGCCAAGCTTCTGCAGAGGCGTGGTGATATTGCTGCTGTGTGTGATTCCAATTGAGCCATTTGCAGGTCAAAATTTCAGCTTTGGCATATTCGTCCAATGTCAGTTACATTGCACGGTTTTTGTTTTGCTACGGGAGGAAATCGGAGAACCCAGAAGAATCCCAGGCAGAACAGGGGGAGAAGATACAAACTCCACGCAGCAAGGCGCCCGAGTCGGGGATCAAACCCAGGCCCCTTCTGACTGGGAGGCGCGACTTGCCGCAGTGCCATCCTGCTGCCCCCCACCCCCAATTCCTTACTTTCTCATTTGTAGTCTCTCAATGGTATGTTCCATCTTGTATTTATATACAGGTACCTAACCATATAATCATCTTTCAATGTGCATACATTGTGAACATATCGAATCTTAGACGCACGATTAACTTCTAGTAATGTGAGCATTGGAACTGATTTTGACCCACTGATGAATCGTTAATTATTTCGTATATTCTTTACGTGCAATTATCCGCACTGCTCGTTCAAGAATTCCTTGTCAGTCGTATCAAAGCTCTGCCTCCTGTTATACAAACTATATTCTAATCTCATGTTTATTTGTTTTACATCATTTCACCAATTGAGTAAATGCTGCAGCTCTGAATGGATGTCGTAAACGAAAAGAAAAAAAATGTTGGCGATGTTTGTTGACAAAAAGACTCCACCGAAAACGACAAGTTCTCCGCACATGAACGTACCAGTAGTACTGCCGCTTTGTCTGCTTGTGTGATCTGGGAGCGATGCCGTGGCCAAGCAGGAGAGGAGCGGGGGGGGGGGGGGTGTTAGGTACACATGGGATGTATTGCACCAGAGTTTGCACGGTGGCATCAGTGTTGTTCCTTAAGATTGCAGCATTCATCAGATGGGACCCTTTTTGCCAGCATCAAGATACTGGAAAAAGGGTCCCATAGACATGACTGCTCAATCCGAGCTAATAATACTTTGATACTTGCATTGCCTTTGTACTGTTCGCCATTTGGCGTCCTCTGGTTGCACAGCGGCGAGCCGAGGCCACAAAGAATGCTGTCCCTGGTGTAGGCCAATACGTTTAAATAGCAATGCGTATATTATCAGAGCCTGTTTGTTTGCATCTTTTGCCACAAGCATGTGTGGTTAACGCAGACTTGATGCCTTCCAATAGGTTATCTATTTGGTGTGTGGACACCTTAAAGCCTGTTCTATTGCCAGAAAGGGTAAACGCCTATTCTTATATATATTTTCTTCTCAGCATTCATCAAATAGCACGCAGCTCCATACAGCCTATTACCCCTCTGGGATTATTTAGAGTGAGTGCCACTTTGTGAGATGTCAGGAGCAGTTGTCGTATGGAGATACAGCGTTGGTTGGCCCGCCGTGAGAATGTTACATTTGCACCATTGGCCCAGGGAAGGCTGACAAAAATGATCACCACCCCATTGCTCACTTGAGCAGAGAGACGCATTGAATTTTGATCCTGAAATGAATATTATAGTGATGCAAAGACAGCGACGTTTATGGGTATTTTTTTCCCATTGTAGAATTTCTGCTCTGTGTTCTGACACTGAGCCTGATTGACTTTGGCATCTCATGGTCATTGTTTTTTTTTATTTAGTATAAATGTGACTTGTGTTCACGGTCTACCCACATCCATTGCTTGTCTTTGGCTAGGTTGCAATTTAACCATAAAACGGACGAATAAAGTATCCTCCAATGTTTCCGCAACACGCTTGGAAATGCACGATTGGAACGCCGACCGGAGACAATGGCTGAGCGTATATGCCGCTTGTCATGGATGTTTGCGGTACATGCCCCGGCTAATACTACGACTGTGTAAACTATACGACATGCATCGTCTGTATAAATGTAATTCAAATGCAGTAATTCTGTATTATTGCATGATTTCCTGTTATGCCAGACAACCGGCATAACCAGAAAGGCTCATCCCGCAGCTTGGAGAGGTCTTGCTGCTGCTGTGCTGTTATTTCGGAGGTCAGTCCACTTGCGTTAATACCAATAGAGCAAGCACCGCACTGCAATACAATTACTTTAAAATCCTCCCAATCAAGCAATAAACCATCGCGCGAACTCCGGTCACCCTCGCAGCAGCCGTTTTCGGCTGGCCATCGAACAAAGACGGTCACCGCATCGCGCGCTTCTGCGGCCGTCTGGAACGCTCTTCCCTTCCAATGTGAGGAAGCCACCGGAGCTGTGCACTATTACAATCTAAAATTTAAAACTCGTTTCTTTAGGACTGCTTTTTGTGTTTAGTTTGTTTGTCCTTCCCTCGCACCTCCGATAAGCACGGTTGGCTACGAACGGTGCGAAAGAAGTTTAACATACATACTGTACAGTCACTCGGATACTGATTGCTTTTCAAAACACTGAGCAGTGTGCGGTCCAACACCACAAAGTCCCACCCCCCCCCCCGCCTCGGCAAACTTCAACAAGGGCCACTGCACACCGCAAGGTTGTCCTGTGAAATTCATTGGCTCTCGGCAAACATTTGTTATGGTTTACGGCCACTAACGGGACAGTTAACGCACTTATGAACCCACGTGCATAACGATGACCCGCGTTTATAGCACGTGGCCATTAGCCTCTCCCCGAGGGGTGCCCCTCTTGAGGCCCACTGCACGCGCTGCCGGCGTTCTTGAGAAGTTGCCAATATTTGACATTTAACGCGCGAGTGCACGAACCAATTTAATGTGCAAAAGCTTAATGGCTAAAATTAATTTGACTTAATTCAGCGCCCTTCATTTCACCATCTAATATCCTAATCAGATTCATGTTCTGCTGTTGCAATGGAGACGTGAGCCAGGTCATCCTCGTCGTCATCATACATGATCTATCCACCGCTGGATGAAGGCCTCGCCATCTCCCGCAGCTTTGCGATGCAACAATCCATCTCGCTCCTTCACGCGAGCGGATTTCATCGCTTCGACTCCGTGGTGGAAATCCCCTCGAACGCGTTCCATCATTTGGCTTCCACTCTGTCCTTCATCCCTCCCAGCGACCTCTCCTGCCCAAGGTCGCTAACTTTTTTTTACAGTCAATATATCGTCTTAAACTTGCGTATGTACTCGGGTCCGTGTGTCCCACTTTCAGTGTAATTACAAGTGTGCACTTGCCAACACTTCTTTGAGAACTTTTCAGATTTTATTCCATCTTTTTTTGTCAATGCCCAATCTGTCCTCGATGGTAATATATATATTGATGAAACGCATTCTTTCTCAAAAGGCCCATTGGCACATTACTTTTCTTGATTAATGTCGGTTTCCCAAAACCCAAGCTGCTCTCGTGAAAGGGGAGCGAGAGAGCCACGTGGGGATCCAACAGAGAGGACGTAGTCGTGTCTCTGTGCTCAAACAAGAATGGGCAGCGCTCCCCTCTACACGAATTCCACATTCCTATGGTGGGAAACACTCCCATCGTAGGACAACTACTACCAATCATAATATCGTTCATCTATCCAAGAAAACCTCAGTGAGTCCTCCGTTTCTTTTCTTGAGAGGATCCTGCATTGGCATATTTTAGCAAATTCCTTACTCAGGAGTTGCTTTTTATGCACGAAAGAGGAAACTGGACTATCCAGAGGAAACCCACGCCCATTAAAACACGAATTAAAAAAATCCAAACAGAAGGGTATGCCCCATCTTATGTGCGTTGCCATCTCCCGCAGCTCACGGCAAGTGAAACATATGCCCTGCGTGATCCGCCAACGGCAACTCCAAAGCGCTGGATTTGTGGCATTCCAGCTTGCAAGGGGCATTTTATTCTTCCGTCAAATAAAAGTGCAGTTGAGCAACCCACTTAGTACAGTGAGTGTAGGGATTTTCTTTGCTCTACATGGCTTACATTGGATGGCAATTAGGACAATTATGCAAATGAGACCCTGTGTGTGGCTCATTAATTTGGGTATAGATTTTATTACGATCAAGTTCAAGGCAAGGAAAGCCAACTGTGTTCCTAAATCACCTCAAGAAGATTTTTTTTTTATCGGCACATTCACATATTTTAACTTCTTTTCGAAGGCAGTCATATTTCAGCAGTGCAATTAAACGTTCGCAAAGGAATGGTCGTTTTAACGCTGCAATATAAAAACAATTGGGTTTTTAGACACAGAAGAATCCGTAGCTCTAGCATACATAATTTTGAAAAACAGAAGCCACAATTCTGTAAATCTCATTGTATATATGTATATTTCAATAATAATTATCCTTTTGCAGTTCACTCCTGGCACAAATTGCACATTGCAAGCCATTTAGCAAAGACTTTCTGGTAAGAACATAAATGATTGGTGATTTAGTGAAATAATAATACAGGCTAGTGAATTAGAGGTAGATAATTTGTTGTGGACCATTATTCTGTCTTTATGCACTGTACATTTTTTTCGACTTACATGGGACAGCACTTACATTTCATTAAACATCACATTGCATGCCTTCCCTGACGTGTTTCTGGGTTGTTACCGTACGGCGCTCGGCACAATGTCTGACGTTCCCCACCGCTGGAAGCAAAAACGTCAGACGCCGTGTCGAGAGCCACAAAGCACAGCCGCGGAAACCCACCAAGTAGTCACAGCATTGCAGTACTTGCAAAGTATATATCTCACAGTCATTTACACGGCTGGCTCAGAGCCATTGCCAAGATACAAATAGCCAAGGGGGCCAACCTCTTTCATTCTCACTCCTACGTTGAGTAGCCCCCATAAACTGGTATGAGTCGGAAAAAGGTTTTGACTTTTAAAATCTAATTTTAGACCGCCACGATTACAATCAATGCATCGCCACGGTGCTGCTTAATGGGAATAACTCATCCCACGGCGTCTCTGGTTGGGCAGCCCTGTGGTTAAAACAACCAAATTAAAATTGGAAGGTTGTGAATTCAAATCCCAGCTTGGAACAGACTCAGAGCATCAGCCCTCCAGGATTTCTCAAATTGGCCCCCTACTATCGGAACTCAACCATCGTCATCCTTCAGACAAACTAACACAGTGCAAATGAGATAGACGCTCAAATGAGATAACACCTAAACATATATAGATAGGACCGCAAAGCTTGTCCAATTGTTGGCACCAGCTCATCGCGTGGCCACCTACCTGCCTGTCTGTTGTTCCTCGTGCCTCTGAGTCACTCACTCTCGTAGAGACTGTTACAAGTTCAAGTTATTATTATCGTCATTACTACCCAGCACTTTGTTTATTGTGGGCGGTGTTGTTGGGGGGGGAGGGGTTATTCCTAGGGACTTTGCCATCTCTCCACACATCCTCTCCAGCCTTCCCGAGGCAAACCCATACACCCACCAGCCCGCCCGCTCAGCAACCCAATACCCATGCCAATACCCGGCCGTTCGCCACTAAGCGACGGTGATGTCGCCAAGGCCCTGTGCCAGGCCAGGTGCACTTTGAGGCCACGTGAAGTGTCGAAGGCTCGCTGCCAGGAGGAGGTCTCGGGACAGGACCCAGCAGGCACCATGGGTTGGCTGACTGAGATGATCGGTAGATGCACCACCAGCCGTACCGCCCAGCCCCCCCCCCCTCCCCCGCGGTCCTCACCTCTCCTCTCGGCTCTGCCCCACGCACACGCGGCCCCCGTGCCGCGGGCTGGGGTTGCTGCACGAGCGCTGCCGCGCCTGGAAGCCCATGCCGCATGACGCGCTGCAGCCAGACCACGTGGACCACGGTGTCCAGCCGCCATTCCTACAGCAGCAGCAGCAATGCGGTGTTAATGATTGGCTCCGCACGGGCGCCATACAGTCGTAGCTGTAGTAGTAGTAATAATAATAATAACCACGATTATTGTGTTTAGTACACTGAGAATAAGGAAACAAAATCTGAATATTCATTTCGACTGGAGGAATCCGATGAGCTATAGAGCTATTTTTCACAGATGTTGTAAATATTCTTGGGTCTTTCGGTAAAGCCACGTAGATAGATAAAATAATGCAAAATAATACAAAATAATATCAGATGTTGTCAATGTTGTGGATTTGCTCTTCAACACACCGGTGTGCTGTACTAGTAACAAATTGGCATGTTCTGTTTACGTGACAACCTTTACTAATTGGCTGTGTCAGGAGGTGGCATGTTTAACGACACATCTATATATTTATGCGATTAAACCCAAAAGACATGTATTATGGAGTTTCACAGATGTCCAGTATCCGCGTCATTATTTGAGAGGAAGGTTACCCGGACGATGCAATGTTTCACAGACGGGTACTGTGCGACGTTACGGTTGTGATGTTGCTGTGCGGTCTTGCCCAATTGAATAGTCTGCGAGTCATTTTACAAATCTGTTAAATGAGGATGGCCACGCCGGCACACATGGCCTTCGACATCCACTGTGAAGCGGATGGCATGTATCGATGCTGAATACTTTTTAAAATATATATTTTTTATTTACCAGGTAAGGCCCACTGAGCTATGTAGCTCTTTTTCACAAGCGACTTGGCCACAAATGATAGCCCAACGAAGTGGCTTATCATCACGTGGGAATTTATGGCAGCCAAAGACTCTGAAACGCATGCAGATTCTAAATGTGTGTGTGGGGGGGGGGGGGGGAACTGGAGGACCCGGAGAAAAATCAACACGGGGAGGAACATGCAAACTCCAAATATACAGCAGGCATCATCGAGATCGAAACCCAAGAACCTCCTGCATACCAGGCGAGGTAGTTAATATCTCGCCACCGTGGCGCGATGTGTTAATACACCAAGGTGGCCCCCTTAACCACGAACTTCTCTCATAAGCGGCAAGACGCATCACCAGCCTGGGTAATTGTCTTTAATATTCAGTCGTAGCCGGGGTCGGATTTCTGGCCTTCGCCCAATTCTTGGCTACGATTCATGAAAACAGTGCCAAATGATGTACCATCCTGTCCCTATGTGGACTCAGCCTCAAATGAGCGCCAATTGTGGTATTTAAGTATCGGCAGTGGGGAGACAAAGGTGGACCGGGCATGGTGCTTGCCAATATGTACTTAACGAAGCATCAGCTCATCAATTAATGGCGATTATTTGATGCGGTGAATCGTGCATGTGACAATCGATATTCAAATGATACCTACATGTTAAACTGACCCAAATGTTATGTTTGGGGTTTATGGAGTGAACTGAATTGTGTGACCAAGGCAGAAACAACAGAGCACGAATGTCATTTAAAAAAAAACAGATGGTGAAAATTACACGAAGAAATAGATTCTTGAATTGAATAACGACCCGAAATCATAATAACTCGTCGTTTTGCTGGTGGGGTGAATTGTTTAATACCTACTGGTCATACTCATGTGCCATGCCAGCCTGAGGAAATGTTCCCTCTAACACCACTTGCCCCATGCGTCTAAGGCTAAATGGGGAATCCTTGTGATGCTCGTTAGCAGCTGTGAAACGTTCCTAATGTTTGCCAAGGGCCAATGAATTCTATCGACAACCTTTTGGTGTGTAATGGCCCTTGTTGAAATTAGCAATGAAGAGACCTTGCAATGAATGGGATTTTAACCTAATTATCTCCACGAGTCAACTGATCTTCCTTCTGACCTGTTTTGTCATTGGAGGCATGAAAACACACAGAGACACACTGTATTTTAATTGAATGCGTTATACACGCAACACAATGAAATCTGGATTTGTATAGCAGCTAAAAGTACTGTCTCAAGGTGCTGTACAAAAGAGTGGGCATTGTTCATCATGGGAAGAAGAGGCACGTATGTTATGTAGTTTTAAAGATGAAACATGCAGTTATAGCCCAACAATGATTGAATTATCATGGCAATGAAATCACGAATAACTATGGCAGACAAGTGCGGTTTTGTTATCTCCTGCAATAGTAAAACTCTCGAAATTAAATTAAGTAATTTGTAGTGTATTATTAAGAACTCCTTGACAGTAATTACTATTTTATTTCACCATTAAAAGGTCATTGTCCTTTTCTTTTCTGGAGATACATCGGTCTCCTTTGAAGGCGATGCTTCCTTCACGGAGGAGTGGTGTACGAGCGGTCAGGGCACTGCACGATCTGCCCGGCGACTTGAGTTCTATTCGCTAGCCATGACGAACATCAGTGGCTTCTGATGTCTGAACTGGTCCTGGGCTCACCCCTTCACCAACCCACTCTAACCAGCGTGGTGAAGTATGGTGAAAGAAAAAACTAAAAGCATGACAAAACACTCTAACTTTTCCCATTTTATTTTCCTCAAGGGACGGCGTTCACGCGTGGCATGTTGCACCATCGCAGTGCATTAGGACGTGTGATGTGTTTTACGGATAACGCTGGTGTATTTTTCATCGTGGATGTTATTTTGGCAATTGGCTACCAGCCAACACTTGCTATATTTGTAACTGGATACTTGACATCCACGAGCTCGAACATATGCTTCCCATTAAAATGTCACAACATTACTTGGCAGCTGGGAAATGAACCGGCAAAATTTGGGCTCACATAAGTATTTTTCCTCTAGACCCGACAAAAAAGTACAAGCCTATAATCATCATTCACCTCTCCAACATCTGTGCGTACCACAATGCCAGCAAGAAAGCCATTTCCAGGATTGGTGAAGCTAAGCATTCTAGATTTGAAGCTTTCGTGAATGCAAGGATTCATACTCTTTGTTTTTTTCGGTAAAGTCACGTAGATAAGACAAAATCAAAATAAAAGAAAACAATTAAATCAAATCACGATGTTTCGGAGGCAACACAAGCTTCCGTCTTCAGGTGGAACAGTCACAGCAAGGTAGCTGCATCAAGTGGTGAGCTCTGAGAGCCTCGAGCTTATATACAGGTTAAGGTGGGGGGGAGGAGCCAAGCAGGGAGCGATGACGGCGTGCGGGGCTAAGGTTAAGGTGGGGGGGAGGAGCCAAGCAGGGAGCGATGACGGCGTGCGGGGCTAAGGTTAAGGTGAGGGGGAGGAGCCAAGCAGGGAGCCACGACGGCGTGCGGGGCTAAGGTTAAGGTGGGGGGGAGGAGCCAAGCAAGGAGCCACGACGGCGTGCGGGGCTAAGGTGAAGGGTTCGGGGGAAGCGGTGGTTCACTGCACGGGGGCAATGAAAAATGGTAAAAAAGGCTGTGCGGATATAAGGTAGCTGAAGTTTTGACTTGGTTTATGACATCTTTCCAGTGGTTGCTTAATTTAAAACCATCCTCTCGAAGCTAAATATGCCTATCGACAGGCATCGTGAATGTGCATTTCTCTCTCTAGCACTCTAGCAAATGAACTGTGCGACTGTGCATTTGTTGTGCTGAGTATAAATGTAGCTCGCCTGGGTTAGAGCACTTGCAAGTGGAAAGCGGTAAATAAAACGAGCGTCACTTGGCAGCAAGTCACCCATGTCATCCTCTGGAAAGGCTGGCCCTCGCCACATGAATGAGGAATTTCAACTCGCGCCTCGGGACTGTAAATGTAGTTGATTGGCACCCCTCGCTCGTTTGAGCAGCGTTTTACTGTCTTAAGCCAAAGAGAGTGAGAGAGGGATATACTCCTAAGAGGTGTGATTAATTCTTTCATTGCCCACAATGCACCCAGATGGCGTGTGATAATGCAAGGAATGGCCCTGTTCGTGGATGGATCTCGCTTATAACGATAGGCAGCCACAATCCAGCCACATTTATGCAAGACAAACATCACTGATGAAACTCAGGGCATTGTAACCGATCAAAGGGGGTTTGCTGCTTGCACAAAACGCTGCTGAAAAACATTGCTTTAGGCAAGCCTTTTGGCCAGCGGACCGAAGCGTAATTTCAACGCTTTTTTTATTTATTTCTTAAGCGAAGCCGACCTTGACCCCCTTCTGTTTATTAATTTTCACGTTCTATTATTTTCTCACCTGGAGCAGTTGGCCACCTGCACGCTGGGTCCCGGGCAGGGTCGCCCCCCACAGCCTGGGACCGGGGAGTCGCACGCCCGGCGGCGGCACTGGCACGACGAGCCCCCCGCGGAGCTGCCCCCCACGTCGCCGTCCCAGTGTTGGCACGGCTCCCACGCCGACCAGGGTCCCGGCCCACCATCCACGGTCAGGTTGCGCACCTGCGAAGAGAATCGCGGGGTCAAAGGGTGGCTCGCACACGCTTGGGACGCACAATGGGGCGACGTTCCGGGCCACCGCATCTGGAGGTACAAAAAACAAAAAGAGGACATATCGCGGGAAAGAGGAATATCTCACGACAGCTGAAGAGGGGAGAACTACTTTGAATTATCCTCTGGATTATAAGATGCTCACAACCCACCCTCCGCCACCCCAAAAGTTGTGCCCGGCATCAATAAAGCTTAAAATATTCTGGACACACACACACACCTACCGGATTGCAAAATGTACTCCCAACTGCTTTTAAAATACAGGGAGAAAAAGTGCATCTTATGATACAGAGAATGTGACAATGCAAATGCAATCTTGACGGGTGTGCTGTTTACACAACTGACAAGAAAAACGGGAACTTTGTGTGTCCCACGGAGACGTGCAAATTCATCGGGAAGGCTGCCTCAAAGGGTGGGCGGCGTCCTGGCAAACCGGCACAGTTGGAGGCAAAGCCTGGGTGGCGTTGTTCTCCAAGGTCCACCGCCGCCGCTCTGAGTCCACTGGTGCAGGTTCTGCATTTTTATTTGTTGGCCACATTCACATCTGGGTTAAATGGTAAGAAGTGCATCGCGTTGGTGAGTTTGCCCATTGAAATACAAATCGATTTTCTTCTTTTGTTGCCAAACGCCACTTGGGAATTGGGCCCATATTTACATGGGGCTGAGACCAAATGTTTAACTTGTCAGTGCCACCGAAGGAGTTGGCATAACTTAGTAGGTTTCTTTGCAAAAATCTATAATCATAAATGACAGTTGGATGCAATATCCACTGAGACTGTATTCACATACTGATTACATTTATTGGACGGAATAAAAACACCCATCTAAGGTTTTGAAATTTCAGGTGGTACCAAATTCTTCTCTGGCCCATGGACTAATCGTGTCTGGCCTATGGACCAATGTTCTTCTCTCGGAAAGTCGAGTCCTGTCCGGGATTTGAACTCACAACTTTTCGATTCTTAGTCAATGACTTTACCACAGCACCACATGGTTATAAAACATTGGGCATCGTGAGAGTGAAGGGTAGAAAGATGAAAAAAAATCACATTGGGAATATAAATCTCAGTCCAAAAATATTTGTTTTTTATATAGAACATCAGAGCTAATTCTAGATTTGAAGCTTTCGTGACTGCAAGGATCCATACTCTTTGGTTCTATTTGGTAAAGTCACGTAGGTAAAAAATAAAACAACAAAAATCACGACGTTTCGGCCACAACACAAGCGGCCTTCATCAAGTGAAGGGACCAGACTCTCTCGAGGACAGCGCTGGAGTGAAACACAGCCAAGCTCAGACCGCGACCTTTAAGCTGTGTGAGAGTAATTAAGGTACTCTGACTGTACCATCCGCCAAGCTGTTTCTCCCTCCATACAGAAACAACCACTTGATACTCCGGTCAAAACCATCACACTACCATATATAGCAGGCGTTACTAAAAAGATTTCCAAAATTCTAAACAAACACAAGATCCAGGTCCGGTTCAATACAGTACACAAAATTCGTGATCTGATTCCATCCGTGAAGGATGTCATTCCTGACTTACAGTACCCCGGGGTTTACAAATTGAGTTGTACCTGCGGTAATTGCTGTATCGGGGAGACGAAACGACATGTCTCTGACCGAATTCGCGAGCACATATCAGATTTGAAACATGGCAGAACGGATTCTTCTGCCGTAGCTGATCACTGTTACAACGCTGTGGGTGATCACGATATAATTGTCTCCGATACCAAGGTTCTTTGCAAACCCACGGGTTTTTATCAGAGATTTGTTCACGAGGCAATTCAGATCTACACACACAGACACAATTTCAACCGAGAAGATGGTTTCAAATTAAGCAACCATTGGAAAGATGTTCTAAATCGAACCAAACATTAAACTAATTTTTCAATGGTATAGTATATTTTTCAAGTAGTGGTACCCCAAACTTTCGCAGCTTAAAATCCCTTTTCACACCACCAGCATGTGGACGCTGCCGTGCCCCCTCGCCAGCCTGCACAGGTCGACCCCCTCCCCACCTTTCATCATGCTAAGTCCGCCTATTAAAATGCAAATTTTTTATGCTAATTCCTTTGTCAAGGCACCTTAATTACTCTCACACAGCTTAAAGGTCGCGGTCTGAGCTTGGCTGTGTTTCACTCCAGCGCTGTCCTCGAGACAGTCTGGTCCCTTCACCTGATGAAGGCCGCTTGTGTTGTGGCTGAAACGTCGTGATTTTTGTTGTTTTATTTTTTACCTACGTGACTTTACCGAATAAAACCAAAGAGTATCAGAGCTAATGTTGCCATGGCCATCAATCTTTCATTTCTCATTGTAGTATCATCAGTCAACAGTACAATAACGGCATGACTTTGATAATCGACCAATCAGCAACAACTCTAATATCTACAATGTTCAAAATACCACCCCCTGGCCATGTGTTCATTCAATCAGGGAGCAATGTCTCAGGAATGTCAGAAACTTTTATTTGAGTCATCCATTCTTCTGTAGGCTTCTCAAGATGCTCCGGGTGTCCGTTTAAGTGAACCGCTTTGTGGTGAGCATAGATCAAGATTATGGTAGCAGAGCCATGCTTACCGGGCAGGAGGTGAGATCCTGTCTCCAGGATCTTCTGGCATCCCAGTTTTCTCGGAGTCGAATGCAGCTTCTCAGTATCCCATCCCAGCCACAGTAGGGGTCTCGTGCCCGCAGACACGCGCTGATCCCCGTGGAATTGCACCCAGGGCGGGGGCAGATGGGATGCAGAGGAATGCGGTGGAATGGGAGACAGATAGTGGAAGAGACAAGATACAAGGATGGCATTAATTGCGACAAGATGGTATGGATGCTCCACACAGTAGTGTTACGTTGAACAAACTGGACTTACGATCCAGAGTTCGCCAGTTCGATTCGATTTCCTGGCGTGGCAGTTGAAACACGTAAATAGGGCCGGACACCGCCACACTGCGGGTGGGGGGTATATACCTCGACGTCTTGGCGCGTGGGACGCTCACGTGGGCGTGCGTGCGTGGGCGTGCGTGGGCGTGCATCCGCACCTCTCTGTGCCGTGCGTGGAGCATCTCTCGAGTGGCAGGCGCAGAACGCCGCCGTCCACGCCCACAAACAGCGCCTCGCCCCCTGGGTCCACACGCAGCGCTCTGATTGGCTGCTGCTGGACGGCTGGAAGGAGCTCCATCTCGTCGATGACGCATCCAGTGGCGGCTGCCACCTTCTGAACCGTGCCACGCTCTGCCAACCAGAGGACAACAACGATCTCAGTCTCGATCAGTCGAGACGTATGCGCCACTTCGTAGGTTTTTCGCGGTACAAGCGCCGACGTGTTTTCTGGTTGTCCCGTGTGTAGTTTGGCGTGATGTCTGACGTTTCGCTCCACGTGCTGGGAGCTTCTTCAGGGATTTCATTGGGGTCTCATCTGAAGAAGCTGATTCACTCAAATAACTCCCAACAGGGAATTGTACGTCATCACTTTTGCTTCGTTAGTTGAGTGATATAACAATGCCAACTTTGTGATTTTATATATGTGTATCTAACACACACCGATAGGTATATTTATATATCCACTGTTTAAAATAGGTGACTAAAAGAAAGACCCTAAAGCCGAATGCTGAATACTTTAATCGTGAATCTTGGAGTTCAGGTGTCCCCCCTAGGAAAATAACTAATCGATGGTGAGGCGTGAGACTTTGAACAACATTGCCCCTGATGACTGACCTGCTGACCTTCATCTTCAAAGACAGAACATACGCTACCTCTGGTAGAAACTATCCCACGCAATCATTATCAGAGGCCCCTCCCATCTCACCTGTGGCCAGGTAGAGGATGTGTTGGACGGCCGTTCGGCCGGACGAGGAGGCCGCCGCTGCCGCCATGCTATGAACGGCCACGTGGGAGAGGCGCACCTCGGGCTGGGCGATGACGGGACGCCCCCCGAGCGGGGCGACGGCCTCCGACATGAGCAGCAGACGCTGAGCGTCGGCCAGGCTGCGCTCCGTCAGGTTCACGTTGGGGCCCTCGGACACTCGGCCACACTGGGGGCAGAGAGAAGCGTTGGAAGTCCAGACGCTGCTGCCGGCGGTGTAGCGGTTGGCACACTTAGGTCGCCGATTCAATTCAATCTCCTGGCATGGCAGTTGCAACAATGGTGCAAGTTTCTTAAATACACCATCTCTGTCCATCCAGAAATGTGAATAAGTACACCACAGTTAGTTGATCCGCAGGTCACATGTGGTGGGATAAAGTGAGGGCATTCCCACCACTTCCAAGACATTTGGGCAGCATGGAAAAGTAGACCCTCCAGAGGTCCTGTCTAGAACTCCCTCTAATGGAGGCCATTCTGCCAGCAATGTCGTTCAGAAAGCAGTTTTGGGAGTGCACCTTTACCATGACGTGTTATTAGTAGCGAGGGTGGAAAGGTACCGAGTCATCATTAGTATCATTCAGAAGAGGGGCATTATGACCCACACATTCATCAGTTCAAAATGTGTTTTTTATTGTGTCCACGATGCACACGTACAATTGTACGTGTGTGAAGCTCAATTATTTTTGCTTTATAGATGTATGTAATTAGTTCCAGTTGTATCCCTTTGGTACATTAGGCTGCTGTAAATATCTCTGCATGCTCAAGCAAGTTTTGGGGAGTGCTCATATCCACTTTCATGTGGCAATGCATTCGAATTTTACTGCTTCCCAGCCACAGCACGGCAGTGAGCAGCGTTACATATTTGGCAAAGTGAAATATATGAAACGTCACTAAAATTGACTGCACTGCGTACTTCACGATTCACAACGCCTTCATGAACGCACATCTCGAGGACATAAAATTCTTACAACAAAATCCTGTGGCACAAACGGCCGTTAAATATTACAATGTTCATGCGCTCCTACAGAGAGCGAGGCCTATAAAACAATATTCGCTGATGGTATTATGATGCTATTTTCTCGATGTTTTACTGCCACTATTTCAAAAACGGGTGTTGCGGTGCGGATGGGAAAGTAAATTTGAGTGAAAGAAGGGATTGTACAAGAGGTGTTCAGTGTCTTATTAAACGATATGAACTGCTGAAAGCCAACAGCCTGTGGTAGGCCTCATCACAGAGCTTGCTACAAGTTCATGTCAGGCTTTGCTTTGAAGCCTGTCAGAACTGAGAGGTTGTTTCCTCTCTGTTGCTTATATTCCTCTGGCTGTCCAAACTCTACAGATCCTTTCCCCCCATTGAATTACAGGCCTAACACTCTCTCTTTTTCTCTGTCTGTCTGTGAAGCGTCTTCATATGCAGCACAGGACTACTATATATCGTCTCAACTTTCTGCCCGATACTTTTCTCCTCTTTGCCAGCTAACAAAACAAAACACCCATCTTCTTCAAAGTTCTCTAAGCAGGTTTTCCCACTATTTGGACAAGCCTCTGGGCATGCAGTCAAATATCGATGCTTTATAAATAAATAAATACTTATATTGTACTGTACTGCGCCACAAAACCCAGCAGTTTAAATGGGTACAACGCAATCGATTGGAATGTGGTTGAGTAAAGTGTGGATACTCCCATCTCTTAATAAAGTCTTAGAGGGGCTTTCTAGAGCTCCCTTTAGTGAAGACCCTTCTGCCAGCAGTGGCATGAGAAAGCAATTTCAGGGCTGCACATTTAACTTTCACACAACAGATCCCACTGCACAGGTGACATTTGCCCTGTAGAGAGACTGGCCATCATCGGAATGTTGCATTTCCACCACTGGCTCAAGGCCTGAAAGCAGATATGAGTGCTGTCCCGTGATCATGTGAGTGAGAAAACACTTTGATTTGACTTGCGAGCCACAATCTGCTGAAACGCAATAATATTATTTTCCATTCTAACCATTGTGTACGTGTAGGGGAGAGGCACCTGAAAGTTGGGGTTGGGGTTGGGATGGACCATCCACGCTGCACGTGGGCCCTCCTGGTACTTGAAGGCTCCGTTGAAGGCCCCCGCGATGCTGCTGATGTTGTACGCGCACACCGCCGATGCCTGCGGACCACTCCTGCATAGAGCACAGCAGCCCGGATGTAAAGCGTCAAACGTGAATTCAGTGTTCATTCCCAGCCAGGGCTCCGTTACAGCCAGGTCTGGTCGGGATGGTGGATACACTTGGCATGCCTACTTCAGTCTGCAAGCGACCCAGAAAAATATTCGGTGATAAATTAAGTCCTGCTGTGTTATAAAGAGTGCCCAAAGCATAGAGGGATGTGTGCTCAAAATTAGAGACGTAAAGAGGCGTGTGCTGATCAGGCAAAACATACAAATTAGTCGTAACACTGGCTGTTAATTAAAGCCTTAGGCACAACACATCTACAATGGTACTACTTTGTGTGATGCCAAAGTGTATCCGTGCTCAAACAAGCAGTGGGACCAAATTCATGTCTGTTGAGGGCCCAGAGCCAACTGTGTAAATTCCACCTTCCCATAGTGGGTTTAAAAATGAATGCCACTTTTTGTGCTACGTTAACTGTGGGAATGTCCCCACATTGCGACTGAGATTATAAAACTCTGATTATCACCTTCATGTTAGGGTTTAGCGTTAGCCAAACCGCAGTGCCATCCAGCCAAATTTTCCATACCACTGCCCCACATATCTAAAAAAGACAAAGATCCCCTGTATAGCCTTAACAGACTGTTGGGGCAAGTGTTGTTAGCGAGCACCTAATGAAAGCCGGAACGGCACACGAGGGGGTGGTTGGCCAGCACCACGCCCGGCCGTCTTTGTCTCCCTAGTGGTGATGTTTATACGCACTAGGTACTCACTTGAGGCTGAGTCGACCTAGGGGAGGCCCAGGACCGTTTTAAATAATCGTCACTGGTCTTGGTGTCCGTGAGCGTGTATCGAACCCGGGTGGTCGGGTTCGTGGCGCAGCGTGCTAAACGCCACAATACCACGTTACATCCACATTCCATCACGCCCGACACTGCATGTGCTCACCCGCTGGTGGAAAATAGCCCATAGAGAAGCCCGGCCTCGGGGAGGTAGACGGCGCTCCGCAGCTCCGGGTACTCGGGCGCCGCGTTGCCTCTCCTCGAACCCGAACTTCCGGACCCGGCGGCTCCGGCTCCCCCGGCTCCAGAAGAGGCCGTTCCAGACGACGACCCCGAGCAGTCGAGACGGGCCTTCATGTAGGTCGTCCACGTGTCCTCCAGCAGGAAGCGGCCACCCAGGTCGTTGGCGCAGACGCGGGCGACGCGCGACACGACGCGCCGCCCGCACTCCTGCTCGACGGCGAGCTCGCGGAACGCCACGTACACGAAGCCACCCGCCTCCCATGCCAGCACGAAGTTTGGCTCTGCAAACAAAAAAAGCAAAGGCCGCTTTAAAAAAAAATTTTCTTTCTCCGGGTCCTCCGGTTTTTCCCTCCACGTTTGGAATCAACGTGCTTTTTCGAGTGTTTGGCTGCTACGCATTTCCACGTGGTGACAGGCCACTTTGGCGTGCGATCATTTGTGGCCAGGTCACTTCTGAAAAAGAGCTGTGTAGCTCAGTGGGCCTTACCCGTATCGAATAAAGCATACTGTAGCTTTAACCTCTTACGTACGTAGCCAACCGTGCCGATCGGAGGGGAAAAGGCTCCGTCTGCCCTGCCCGTCCGCAGTGCCCGACGATTTGAGGCCAAACTTGCGAGCGGCATTGCGGTGGCAGCCCGAGGCATTCCGCGAACCGAGCAGATGCTTAGGGACCCGAGCAGATCGAGGGGCGCTGGATTCGTGAAGAAATTTGGGGGGTGCATTAAGCATCCGCTCAAATTAAAATACTATTAAACACAACGAGCTAATTAACATCTTTATTTTTTATTATATCACTACATCTCTGTCTCTCTCATTTATCTCTTCTGTCATCTGAAGAGGATTTTATCAATTGAATGGAGGGGGGAGCTCACATATTTGTTTTGCTTTAGGCCCCCAAAGTGCAATGGATTTTGTAATCGGAGTTCAGTGATCTAAGCCTTTACCAATGATGATGAGTCAATCTATTGCTATGCAGTTTGGTAATCCTCAAATATTACTTTTAAATGACTGACCATTCACCCTTTGCTTTAAAATTCGGCGAGGTCCATATCTTGATGAAACTACCAAACTAGAGGGAGGGGGACGGTCGCGGGGTGGGGCGCTGGTGGAAGAAGGGTCGGATGGAGGGGGGGGGGGCATAGGGGCAGAGGGGGTTGGGGGGAGAGGTGGTGGTGGTACCGTTGAGCCAGCGAGAGTTGTACTGCGCGGTGCGCAGGGTGGGCTGCCCGCCGAGGCTCCGGTAGAGCGCCGGGTCACGGCCGGCAAAGTCGACGGCGGTGGCGGCGTAGAGCTCCCCGCGCGCCGTGAGCAGCGTGGCGCTGCTCTGCCGCGGGTCGTACGGGCAGCGAGCCACGCCGTTGATCGTGTCCAGCACGCGGTTCATGTTGCCCAGCTGTGCGGGGGCAGGGGGCACACGAGGGTCCGCGTCAAGCCTTGGGGAATTCCCGCTCGATTGGGCGTCGAGGCGACGCTCCCCTCTTGTTTTGGAGCCCTTGAGCCGGTGATGCAAATTCCACATTCCCGTGGTGGGTGAGATTCTATCCACGGGAGAACCCCTGTTGACTTCCCCACAAAGCGGCACTTGTTTTATCGACCCCGGAAGGATGATGGGCCGAGTCAACCCCCAACCAGGATGTGAACTCGTAACCTTCCGATTGCGAACCGCTCGCTCGACTGCAGAGCCACCTCGCCAGTAACATTTTTACGTAAAAAAATTATCGCAGAAAATATCCACTCAGTAGTTTGCTTCCTTTGTTGCTTGCAAATTACATGTTATACAAAATACTGTCCATTAAATGCACACGCTGTTATTCCTGTGCTTCAATATCAGTTACATCCTTGATGCTATGGGCTGTTGGGGCCCTTACATTCAAATAAAATCAGGCCCCATTCAAACGTTGGCAGAATCACGCAGTAGTTGCAGCCAAATCCGTGGCATTGTCTTGTGAATTGGTCAGTTTTGTGCCAATATTTGTGGAAATTGCCTTTCCCCGGTGCACTGTATAACGAGCTCCCCGTCTCTGGCTGGGTAGGATTCAGCCACAAATCTTCACTTGTGTGCCAAAACCACACAGCATGAATCCCAGCTATTTGAGATCCAAATTTCAATTGACCGAGCAGCTCCACGTTCCTGTAGGCTTAGCGTGGCTCTGGAAGCTTACTGGCTGCAGCTGCGAGTTGTCCGTGCGCCTTCATGTCGTGTAGCCGTTAGCGTTACGCTGCGCGACAAACCCGGCTCCCTGTGTTCGATTCACGCTCACGGCCAACATCCGTGACAATTATCTGAACCGGTCCTGGGCCTCCCCTAGATCGACTCAGCCTCAAATGAGTACCTGCTGCGGTGTGTAAACATTGCCACTCGGGAGACAAAGGCGGCCGGGCGTGGTGGTCGCTACCTACTCCATCATCTGCCGTACTGGCCTTCATAAGTTGCTCGCAAACAGCACATGCACCAACAGTCTGTTAAGGCTACGTGGGGAATGTTTGTCTTTTCTGTATCTTTGGTAGTAATGCAAAGCGTTGGCGCAGTAGTTAACAAGATTGCGTTACAAAGCCGGTGACCCGAGTTGGATTCCTGGCCACGGTTAAAGTCAGTGGCGAGTTTTCTCTGGACCTGTTTTGACGTTCTGATGAACTCGGCCTCACATGAGTACCGAGTGAGATGTGTAAACAGCAAATTGAGAGAGAAGGTAGCCAGCAAGGATATTAACCACACAGCTCCCGTGTGCATAGTTCTTGCTTTAGTATGTGATGCTCACATAGGCAATAATTCGGGATCTTTGTGCAGTGATTTGTGCACTGCACTATGGCACTGGGAACCCAGTCTCGATTCCTCGCCATGCAAATCAAGTCGCACCTGATGTGTCTTGTTGGCATGCAATGATGCATCAAATCACATAGTTAAGCATCGATTAATTATTTGTATTCACATTTCTGTGTAAGGAATATTGTGTATGCATGTGGCTATGTGGTTGGCAGCAGAGGGCGGTGCAGGAAAAGCCATTGTTGTACCATACTTACATGTTCTAACGTCTATGCCCCCTGTGTTCACCAACCCACACTGACCAACTTGGTGAAGTACGGTCAAATAATTCCCATGACCCGGCAATGAGCAGGCCCACAACTAGTCACAAGGGCTGCACGTGCAAATGTGATTCTGCAATTGGTACACGTGACTCCCGCTCGGGGCAATGTATTGACTGCAATGTATTGACTGCAATGTATTGACTGCAATGTAAAGAGGGAGGCTCGAATCAAATCATGACCCAGAACTTGTGACGTTCCATCAAATGGGGAGGGAGCGGTGAACGTTTACTCACCTTGCCCAGTGTCTCCCCTAAATCCACTCAGCCTTAAATGGGTACGTCGCCTTCTATGGCGCATGGATTAATCAAGCTCTTGGAGAGACAAAGGCGGTTCGGGCAAGCACCTGGCCCACATGGCATCTCGACAATGCCGGATTAAGCTCGTGCGGGACCTGTAGAATATGTTGTTATAAAGGGGCCCTAAATAAAAAAAACATAAATATAAAACAAACTAATTTTTAACTTGCATAGTAAAGTCATTGTATTTTAAATTTGCTATACAGCCAGATAATACGACAAATCGCTAACCTTAAACACCCAGTCGTTCATAAAAGTTGAAGGCAGTATAGTACTATGGTAACAGAGCAAGTGTAGAATCACTGAACCGGAATTGATAGCTTGAAAGCATTTAGCGCGAGGCCCTTTAAAGTGCGGGGCCCATAGCCACGACATATGTAGCTGCTTTTGCTACTAGGATAATCCCGGCACTGCATCTCGGGCATCTCGGTTCGCATTGCCAAGCCTTCGCAGGCGAGCGTCTGCACCACCAACGCCCGTGGTCCTGTAGGAATGCGTGAGCATTAGCAGCACTTTCCCCTCGTCCGCGGAAGCCCCATCGGAGGGAGGGGTGTTGGGGGGGGGGACCTTCATCTTTTTTTGCTGCGGAGACTCCGACCCACCGTGCGGTCGGTGCAGATGGGCGAGAAGGCGTTGGTGCCACAGCTGAAGAGCCTGCTTCCCCTCACCAACAGCACCCGCACGTAGTTGTGGCACTCCTCCTGTCCAAGCCATTCAACCGCACACCGACGCTCACGGGACCGCGCGACGTGTCGGGCAGCTTGGGCTGCGGAGTCGTTTGCGAGTCCGCACGTTGAACTTCGTTCGCGCCGCACGTAGCCAACCGTGCTCATCGGAGGTGCGGGGGGATGGACAACGAACTGAACATAAAAATAGTTCCAGGCTCCATTGGGTTTCAACGCAGCCCCCCCCCCCCCCCCCCGCCCCCCCCCCCCCCCATCATCAGCCGTCACCGACACTGCTGGACGAAGGCATCCTCGTCTCTCGCAATCCTGCATTGTAACAATCCACCGAGCAGCGGCTGATTCCACTGCTCCATCTCCGCGGTGGATGGCCTCCCTCTCAGGTCACGTTCCATTCCATGCATGCCGTTCCAGCATTATTCTTGACCATCAAACATCGTCCTTCACAGCAACATGCCCAACCCTTACTTTTTGACAGTTTGAATGATGTCGTTAACCTGCGTATGTTCTCTAACCCATGTGATCCTCTTTCATCGCCTTGAGACATTAGTGAAAGGTGCCTAACAAATAAATATCGATTATCATCATACCTCAGGAATTCGTGAGGGATTTGTTTTTGGCATTGGCTTCATGTAATGAAACGGAGACTCCTATTGAAACTCACATTCACAGAGGAGTTTCACAGCAGTGAACGTGAGGGATGGTCTGCAGAAGCAGACATCACAGGACCATTGCTGAGATCCTTCCAGGTAATCTATCATCCACACTAAAGGGCAAGCACTTTTCCACCTGAATTTCTAGAGCGTGATTGTCATCACTAATTGTCAGATATGGAATTTAGCCAAATTAAGAACAAATACAAATGTCATAAGTTTGTGTTTGTTGTGTATGCTGTCAATGCTGGCTGGGTAAAGATCACCGTCTCATTTCACGTGAGAACCCGGTTTTAATCACAGGTGGCTGCCAGGATTAAAATCTGGATTCAACTTTGTGAAAGCGAATAGAGGTTGCTTTATGAAAACAGTGGATGCTACTTTGACTTTTTTATGTTTACAAACAATAACATTATTTTAACCATAAAAGCCTCACGAATTCTCCAATTGATTTCCAGAAGGAATGGCCCTGCATAACTGCCAATTCGTTTTCAATAAGTGCTGGTTATGAGAAACTACTTTCGGAATTTGTAACCAATGTCAGAAGTCTCAAAAAATCCACCAACGTTTGCTTCCAACCAGGGGCGGAGCAAGGGGGGGTGACAGGGGTGACATTCTGCGTATAAGTGTACGACACTCGGTCTGGTGGACTCCGTGCAACTGCATTGTCAGAGTGTGTCGCCAACCGATGGCGTCTAGTTCAACAGCCTGACTCTCTAATAATTCTTGAAATAAAAATTTGTTGAATGTCACCCCTGCCTGAAATCATTGCTCCGCCCCTGCTTCCACCGTGCTGGATGATGGGCATGCACCAAAATGCCGTGCTCAAATAATGCACGGCACATACATTTCCTCCCAGTAAATAAAAAAATCCAAAATCGAAAACACACTTCCTGATCAATTTGAATAGCCAAAATGCGTGCTTATATAAAGCGCATCCCTTCGCAGCGCCTTCCTTTCACATTCGCTTCGCGTGGAAATTGGAAGAGAGAAAGAAAAAAAAAACCTGTTCATGTGCAATATCACAAAGCCACGGTGTCTAAATTAGGCTGCGACACTTGCAGGCTGCTGTGATTAATTAGTGTGGCACAGCAGGCTCATATCTGACACATTCACCTCCTGAAAACCCCCCAATCACAGTCCTGCTCCTTGTGCTTAATGAACGTACAGTAAGCTCAACAAAATGCTCTGTGGATGGCATTAGAAATGCCACCTCGAAGATGAGCGTAGGTGATTTAGGGGGGCCAAGTCTCATGTCGATCCTGGTTATGAGGCCTTGTTCAGACAGCTGAGCAAGAACATGTTATTCTGTACAGTGAGTGTAATTGCCTAGATCAAGGTTACAAAAAAAATTTCAACAAAGAGACAAGCAGAGCTATGTGTCCCTGCTCAAATAAGCAATGGGTGGCTTTTTTTTTTGGTGGTCCTGAGACGGTATTCAAAATGCAAAATACCCATGACAAGGCCCAATCTCTCTTCAGGAAGACGACTATTGACTTCCCACAAACTGATATTCACACTACCGATTACAGAAAGATAATTGACTTATTTTGTCCTCAAACCTGGATTTCAAATCATGACTTTCTGATTGTCAGGCCTGATTCACGCAGCATTTTAGATTAACTTTGAGTGAATATCCCGCGCCTTGTGTGACATAAACCACGTTCACGTTTCTACAGCAATGGTTCTGAATGAGTCACGTGGTGTGTCTCGTGTGTTTGTTCTCAAGTTTGGGCCTAGTTTACATCTAAGCTAGGCCCAAACTCTTTATTCAGGCAAAACCAAACACTGTACAAAAACCTTCCTCAAAATCATATAACAACATTTGATCAATAATCTTCACCGTCATCAGCCATGGTCAATCCACTGCTGGATGAAGCCCCACTCCCAAACCGATGCCAATTATAACAACCCTCGCGATGTTTTTCATTAACTTCACTTGCCAAAAAAAATGGTGTTATAAGGCCCCTAACAAATCTTTAAATGACGTCTAATTTTTACGTAAAAACCAACCCAACAAAAGCGAACGGCTCGCCTCGTGCCCTTTAAATTGTTGCCTTGCGTCGCGACACAGCCGTGGAAATGCCATCGTATTCTTCTGGTCATCTCTCGGTCACTTCCCCGCTTGCTAAATGTCGCCAATGACGCGCCGGTTTCGAACTTTAAAGAAAGAGTCGTTGTTGGGCTCCTCCCCCTTGGCATCACCCCGGCCCTGCTTGGCTGCCACTTCGTGTAGCGATTTTTTTTTTGCAAAAGTTTCTCTCTTGGCAGCTTCGCGGAACATTCCACGCCCTGACGTCACTTCTTTGAGGCTGGAGGAGCCCGTTTTGATTTAACGACACGCACCAAGAGGTATTGCGCGAGGCCAGCGGAAGTCAAGTGCTTCTCAACACCACGACGATATTCCTCAAGGTGGGTGGCCTGGATTTCCACAGTGGTCGCTCTGATCGTAGAATTTCCATCGCCGACTCTAAACTAAAATTTAAAAATATATATTTTACCAGGTAAGGCCCACTGATCTACATATATAACTCGTTTTCAGAAGCGACCTGGCCGCAAATGATAGCCCAATGAAGTGGCTTATCATCATCACGTGGAAATTTACTACAGCCAAATAATCTAAACGCGTGTTTCTAAATGTGGAGGGGAAAAAACGGAGGACCCGGGGAAAAATGCACGTGACCACGGGGAGAGACACGTGCAAGCTTCAAATACACAGGCGTCAGGGTTGGGATCGAACCCATGTCCTGTATACCAGGCGAAGTAGTTAACATCTCGCCACCGCAAATCAAGGCTGCCAGCTGTGGTGAGCACAGCCATAATGCTCGTTTGAGCAGAGAGACAATTTGATTCCACTTCATTTTATTCGAGGGGGAAAAAAAAAACTGCAGGCAGTGCAAGAGATCCCCCCTGGTGGGGATTAGGACGATGCTTTTCACGCCAGCCCAGACATCCAGGAAGAAGTGGGAGCGCCAATACGTTCAATAAAGCATGAACGTACGAGGTATTCCTGGAGCTGTGATTGAGAGCTCACCTCAGACTTTCCCTTGCTGAAGCATGAGCTTTTGGTGGTCTCTGTGCAGCTCCACTCAGTGGCCTGGGAAATGGATAAATAGAAGCATTATTATCAAGCCCAGGACCTCGCACACACGCATGCATGCATACACACATAAAAACCCGATTCCATGTATAACCTTGTGAACGGCTGGGGCAAACGCTGTTAGCGAGCACCTATTAAGGCCAGCGTCACACACAAGGGGGGGGGGGGGGGTGTGGTCAAAACTACGCCCAACTGCCTTTGTTTCCAGAGCGTTTACGTTGACACACTACATCAGGTACTCATTTAAGGCTAAGCCAGTCCAGCGGAGACCCAGGACAAGCTGCGATATCACTCGCTGCTGGTGTTAGCTACGACTGAGAATCGAACTTTAGATTTGCAGTGCGGTGCATAACCCATTGTACCATCACTATTAAGAAAGACAAAGATCCCCCGTATAGCCTTACCATACTGTTTGGGCAGAGACACAGAAAGACGCGAATAAACGCAGACGAAAGAAAAATAAAACAGACACCAGTGACGAATAAATCAAACACTGAGAGCTGAGGAGATGAAAGGTATTGACATATATAAAAAATAGACTGAGAAGCACAGACTATAAATAGAAGAGATAAACTCACACAAAGACAAAGATCCCACATATAGCCCGAACAGACTGTAGGGGCAAGTGCTGTTAGCGAGCACCTATGAAGGCCAGCACTGTGGCACACGAGGGGGTGGGTGGCCAGCACCATGCCCGGCCGCATTTGTCTCCCTAGTGGCGATGTTTACACTGCACCAGGTACTCATTTGAGGCTGAGTCGACCTAGGGGAGGCCCACGGCCGGTTCAGATAATCGTCACTGGTGGTGGCCACACATTCACTCACGGCACAGGCCATGCAGGTGCTCACTTTTAAAACGTGCATCTCAAAGTCCAATTCAAACGCTGCATTAAAGCTCAATTTGGCAGAGCAAGACATTAACCACAGCGGTACGAGCAGCAAGGGCCATCAAGTGGTAGTGTCTTCATACTGCCAAATATGTTGCTTGTGAAATGGAAATAGTTTAAAATGTAACTTCAATTACGCAAGACTAAAAGACTCTTCAAATTGCACCAGCATGTGCCATATTTGAGACAGCAATATTGCCAATGCACTGTAATTATAGGGAAAGTCAGATGTAATGGAAAATGTTGGCGTTCGTTAAACGTTACAGAGGCAGGATGTGGAAATATCCGTCTGGATAGTGCGGTGGCAGAATGCGCGACTCGCAATCTGGAGAGTCAGAGTTCAAATCCGGGTAAGGGTTGGACTCATCACATCATCCTTTTAGGAAGTGATAAAATGGGTACCACTCTGCGGGGATATTCAACAAGTGGCTGTCTTACGCCTGGACTGGCCCCTGCCATATGCACGTGGAATTTCCACCACTGGCTCAAAGCCACCGGCAGAAACGAGCACCATCTCACGCTTGTGCGGAGATGCACTTCGACTTGTGGTGATCCGCACACGTCATGTGTTTTTTTTTTTACAGCCACGTTACATATTGTACACGTTAAAATGATCACATTGTCACGAGACAAAATGTACATACGTTGTAAACACAATGTACTGTCAACGATCTCGTTGGATTCAGCTAAACGGGCAGAGACTAGATAGCATGATGAATGATGGTGATGAAGGTGGAGCGGTACATTTGCGCAATGCACTGTGAAGTATGCACCCTGTTACTCATGTTTCATTCCCAGCCATAGCAAACATCCGCGGTGAGTGATATCTGAACTGGTCCCGAGTTCCCTCCCCCACTAGCCCGCACTGACCGGCGCAGCGAAGTACGGTCAAAACAACCCCCCCGCGCGACTGGAAATTGCGTGCGGAAGCCTTCATCCAACAGTGGGTTCACAATAGGCTGTAACACATTACCAGTTATTCTTTAATAATGACGAAAGCATGCGTACACAGATGGACGGATAGATTTATATTGACAGACATAGACCACAAATAACACAGAAAGGCATCAAGCTAATCGCCAAACTGTTAAACGGTGAAGTACTTTTTACAACAACAACAAAAAAAACCCCCACTGATATTAAATCAAGTTGTTCACTGCCATGGCACCGCACCTGTGGACCACGTGGTCACATAAAGAGAAGGTTAAACGCAACCAGCTGAGCCTTGGGGCCTGGCTGCGTGGATATCGTCGCTCACAAACAACGGAGCCCTTTTAACTCCGGCCAGGATTCGTTGGCGAGTGCGTGGCGTATTGCTTACTGGCATAGCAGCCGCATTAAAGGTGCACCTTCATAGCGGCGTCACGCGACGCAGATATGCTGCGCCACCATCCAAGCCTTTATTTATTTAACACACGGGATTTCTACGGATACGCGGCATTGTGCTGTTCCCATTTTGGTTTAAGGCCAGGCAAATGTGTATTAAAAAAAAAATGTACAAGTGACCTCTGCTGTAATGTGCGAGGCATGTGAGATTTTAAAATGGATTTCGAATAGGGCAATTTTTATTCAATTAAATGGGTTGAAAATGTACTCCAATAAAATGGAGGAAATTGTGAAGCAAATGCAGTTTTAGCCCTGGCAAGGAGCAAGGTTGAATGCATGTACTTCAGCAAAGTGATTTCACAGAATGCCATGTGAAGCCGTTCTTCAGAAGTCAAAAGTCACCGTGCTCAAGTGAGCATACGGGCATCGCTCATCTCCTTTTTGTGGCCTCGAGCGAGCCATGGGCGAAAATGCACATTCCTATGGAATGGGGCAGCCTCTCTCTTGAGTACATCGCACAAACTGGTACGCGATTTTATCTCTCCCAGAGAGAGGATGATGTGCTGAGTTGACACTTGCTGGGATTTCACTCGGCAGCGTTCCGATTGCGAGTCGCGTTCATTCTGCCACAGGGCCCCCACCTAGTTGAGTGACCTCATAAAGTCAGGAAATACACTCGGTGCACTGTTATTGCGGAGTCATTTACTGCTCGTAGCTCATGCCCGTGGACCACTCACAGCAGGTACGGTGACATACTGTTTATTTCGTTGCTCCATACCAAGGGCCTTGCGTGTCGCACGCAACGGCGGTTTTTTTTCGTGCGAGGGTCACATTACAAAGCACCCCCAGCCCCTTAGGACTCCAATAACAAGAGGGAGGGGTGAGGCAAGGGGGGGGGGGGGGGGGTCCTAACCCTAACAAGAAGCAGCAAGTGTAGCCCATCTGGCGAAAGAATGCCCTTCGCAGTACACAGGCAAAGATCTCCCGTATAGCCTGTTGGGGCAAGTGCTGTTCGCGAGTAGCAGCTATGCATGTCGGCAAGGCCACACGAGGGGGTGGCGTGGTAGTCACCACCACTCGTGACTATGTTTACACACTGCACCAGGTACTCATTTGAAGCTGAGTCTACCTAGGGGAAGCCCAGAACCGCTTAAGATAATCGTCACTGCTGTTGGCTGTAAGCGAGATTGGAATTAGGGTCACCCGTTACACGACCGCTCCCCAACAAAGACACGCGCAGATATGCCAATGCACGCAGGTGAAAAGTATTCAGACATTCGAAACAAAACGAACACACGTTCAAAAAAAGCCTCGGTTGCATTGTCAGTAATATGCTCATACGCTTATTTGCTTCACGTCATGTAATTATTTTCTGCAAGCCAAAGAAGCGGAAGGTTAAAACGCTCCCGTCTTGCTGTGACCGGGGCAGGTCGCAGTATCTGGGTCGTTTGTCATTGTTAAGGGTTAGGGTGAGGGTTTGTCTCACTCTTAAAGGAGAGGTCAGAGGCCACCGAGATTGCACTATGCTCTGCTAAGGACACAGAACACTTTTCATACGAAGGTCCAGGCTGAGCCAATTCCATCCATTGACATCCAAATTGGAGCATTGTATTAGGGTCTGAAATAGCTTACCCAGCATGGTGTGATGAGTGATTTTAAATCATTCTTACGATGCATATAAATGTGTGCTGTTACGTGCGTTCGTGTGTGTGTGTGTGGAGGGCAGTGGTGCACTGGGGCTGCGGTGGTTAGCACAACGCACCAAAAACCCTGTGACCTGAGTTTGATCCCTGGCTATGCACAACATCAGTTGCATTTGATATCTGAGGCTGTCCTGGGCTACAACTAGGTAAACTCAACCCAATGAATGTGGCGTTGTGTATAAACATCAGCACTGGGGCTGCTGGTTGTGGATCTGACCAAACCTCCGGCGTGTGTAGTGTTGGCATTCATAGGCAGACATTAACACCACTTACTTCTTATAGCCTGCAAGGACATATTGGGAAATATTTGTCTTTTATAAACTGTACAGAAGAGAAAGTTAAAACGTTGGTAAAGTAGTATATACATTATCTATGTTATTCTGTAATAATTTTATATCTAGCCATGTGGCACTCTGATTAATGATCTCGACTCACAATGAAAAGGTTAAAAGGTCAATCAAATGAGTACTATTTTGATTTAAAGCCTTCGTGACTACAGAGATTAATATTCTTGGTTCTTTCGGTAAAGTCACGTAGAAGGGAAACAATAAAATAATAAAAATATAAAACAATAAAATTATCACGACGTTTCGACTGCAACACAAGCAATCATCATCAGGTGTGAAAACCACAGCAAGAAAATTACTGTCATCAGGTGTGAAAACCACAGCAAGAAAATTGCTGTGGTTTTCACACCTGATGATGATTGCTTGTGTTGCAGTCGAAACGTTGTGAGAATTGTATTGTTTTATATTTTTATTATTTTATTGTTTCCCTTCTACGTGACTTTACCGAAAGAACCAAGAATACAAATGAGTACTGTTTTGTGGAAAGTCAGCTGTGGCTGACCTGCATTGGGATTGGCCCTGCTATAGAAATGTGGAACATCCACCACTGGTTCAGGGACACCAATAGAAACGAACACTACCCCACGCTTGTTTCATTAGGGAGATACTTTGACTCGAATTATATAAAGTGGATTCAAGTTCTGTGTTTCAATATTTAACACCACTGCTTGTTATTCTAACAATCTGGGTTGTTATTATTGCCACTACCGTAGATTTACTGAGAAAAGCCTCGC